AAATGTTTTCCTTCTTACTCAAACACCAAGCCGGGAAGCTGAACACGGTGGCCGACGCCCTCAGCCGGAAACGTGTACTGCTTGCTCAACTTCAGACGGAGTTCACAGGTCTCACGTGTATTCAACAACTGTATGCGGATGATGCTGATTTTGGAACTATCTGGGCAAATTATCAACAAGGAAACATCGTATCAGGTTATTGCATTCGTCATGGTTTCCTTTTTTATCATAATCTCCTTTGTATTCCTGCGTCTTCTTGGCGACATCATCTTATTCGTGAAGCTCATTGTGGAGCTCTAGCGGCACGCACGGGTCGTGACAAGTCCTTAGCTCAATTGAAGAGCTGATTCTACTGGCCGAGATTACGCCGTGATGTTTTTCGCTTTGTTGATCGCTGCCCCGTCTGTCAAAATTATAAGGGAGGTGCACAAAACACAGGCCTTTATACGCCCCTACCCGTCCCTGATTCCATATGGGAAGACCTCAGCTTAGACTTTGTCCTCGGTCTCCCCTGCACGAAGAAAGGTAACGATTCGATAATGGTTGTCGTCGATTGTTTTTCAAAAATGGCTCACTTCCTTTCTTGCAAGAAGACCTCCAATGCTCTTCACATTTCCCATCTGTTTTTTCACCAAATCGTGCGTCTTCACGGCATTCCACGGAGCCTTACCTCCGACCGCGACGTCAAGTTCATTAGCCATTTTTGGCGCGAACTGTGGAAACGTTTGGGCACCGATCTCCGCCTTAGCTCGGCCTACCATCCCCAATCCGATGGTCAGACGGAAGTGGTTAATCGAACAGTGGGTAGCATGCTCCGCTGCCTCGTACAAGAGTACCGGAAGCAATGGGAGGAAGTCCTCACAACAGCCGAGTTTGCTTACAATTCAATGGTGAATCGATCCACTGGTAAGACTCCATTTTAGCATCGTTTATACTAAGATTCCCAATCTTGCATTGGATGTAGCCGTGCTTCCCAAATGCAAGTCTGGCGCTGCTACGAGATTCACAGACCAATACTCCCAAATGCTTGAGGATGTCCACCGGCAGCTGACTAAATCTAACCTCAAATACAAGGCCTCCGCCGACATCCACCGTCGCCAGTCTGTGTTTAATGTTGGCGACCTCGTCATGGTACGCCTTCGTCGGGAACGTTTTCCACCGGGCACTCATTCTAAGCTGAGCCGCCGCAAAATTGGTCCTGTCCCCATCATTGCAAAGATCAACGATAATGCCTACACTGTGGAGTTGCCACCGGGCTACACGACATCACCTACCTTCAACGTTTCTGATTTATGGCAATATCATCCTCCTGATGATGCTCTGATCATGCTAAGCTCGTCGGAGTCGAGCTCTTTCGATGCCGGGGAGGACTGATGCAGTGCATCACCACACCACATGGCCTAAGGTCGTTAAAGGACCAGATGAGTTCCACTCTCGCCGTTACCTCATTTTACCACTACAGTACTATTTTACCTTTTTGGTTGTTAGACCCACTTTAGTATTTTTCTTTCAGTATTATTAGCAATACCAGAAAATTACACATACTCTTAGTGGAGTGAAAAAAAGGATGTTGTTCATTTTCTATACAGAATTTCTGTTATCTGCTTCAATAGAAGTTCGCCTGAAGTTACAACCCTTCAGCGCGATTCACTGTTCCATTGGCTTGTGTCCTTTGTTTTCTTGTTTTCTTTTCCCTGCAGGTCTCGTTCTCACGGTGACGACGATCCTGAGTACATCAGATGTACCATGGAGGCTGCAACAAAAAATATTTTATTGACATCTTGATCCTAGCTTGTTGAGAGGATGGAGTTCAACATCAAGAATTTTCGACATGCTAATGGGTCCTACAAAGAGAAGTACTCTATAGGACCTTATCACCCTTAAACTAAAGTGATCAAGAGGGATCAAAATTGCATGTGATTTATGCACACTCAATTGACAATATTATCTTATGTCAACCACTATTGAATTCTTTCAAAAAGTTTCACGGGCAATCTTGCAATCATGTCAAATGGAATTACTAACATTTAAGGGGATCTTACTCAATCATAAAGGTACTACCATAACTCAATCAAAAATGATTCATCATTCATCTTAAACGTCATAGAAAGTGGCTAGTCTAGCCTCCAACCTTTGAAAGATGTGGAGGAGGTTTAAATATTTGAAGTTGATGCCCACAAAAGAAATTGTTTGAAAAGTTTACACTCTATGAAGGTATATTTCGAACATTAAATATTTTGTTATTCATAACAATTTATATGCATTTGTCTGGGTGCTTTATGAGTCACTCATAGTAAGCCTAAATGCCACATGCCACCATCAACCCATTTGCCCAAGAAATAAAACAATTAAGCAAAAGAAGAAAAATATTTTAGATGAAGTGGAGGGTGTAAAGGTAGAAATCACCAAACTTCTCCATCCATATGTGAAGATTGGATTTATTTTGCCTAATCAGCAGAGTAGCACAAACAACCAAATTGAATTCTTTTATCTTACATGTGATTTATGCACCCTCAATTGACAATATTATCTTATGCCAACCACTATTGAATTCTTTCAAAAAGTTTCACGGGCAATCTTGCAATCATGTCAAATGGAATCACTACCATTTAAGGGGATCTTACTCAATCATGAAGGTACTACCAGAACTCAGTCAAAAATGATTCTTCATTCATCTTAAACGTCATGGAAAGTGGCTAGTCTAGCCTCCAGCCTTTGGAAGATGTGGAGGAGGTTTAAATATTTGAAGTTGATGCCACAAAAGAAATTGTTTGAAAAGTTTACACTCTATGAAGGTATATTTTGAACATTAAGTATTTTGTTCTTCATAATAATTTATATGCATTTGTCTGGGAGCCTTATGAGTCACTAATAGTTAGCCTAAATGCCATATGCCACCATCAACTCATTCACCCAAGAAATAAAACAATTAAGCAAAAGAAGATAAATATTTAAGATGAAGTGGAGGGTGTAAAGATAGAAATCACCAAACTTCTCCATCAATATTTGAAGACTGGATTTATTTTATCTAATCAGCAGAGTAGCACCAAACAACCAAATTTCTCAATAGTTCAAAAATATGTAAGTGAAATATTAGACCTAGGTAATTGAGAACTTAGAAGTGGCGAACAAGCAGATGCCAGAAAAAAATTAAAAATTTCAAAAAATAACAAAATAGAAATTAACACGAAGTCTATAGTGATTTGATGAGAATGACTATGTCCACTTGAGGCTAGTTCTCAGAATGCACTAAATCAGAAGCTCTTTGGAAAAAGTGTAAGAAATGGAACGAAACAAGAGGCGATCACATCAATCTTTAGAAGCTATGGGAGTTGAAGGGATCTTTCGAGTCGAAGAAATGGTAGAGGATAGGGAATCCAAAGAAGTGTTTCAAGCTAAGAAGAGTGTTTATAGTTTTTTAGCAAGCTTAAGTAGTGGAAAATTTGCATTGTTGAGAGGATCCCAAGATACTAGGTGTTGTAAGAAGGGTGTGGTGCCAAATGCATGCAGGAGGCAACATTTAGTATTTTATGCACGTGAGATTTGTTGCATTCTAAGATGACATGTTTAGAAGGAAATTTTTAAATATAATTGCCTGACAAAGAGGTCATTGGTGGTTAATTGTAATAATGATCAACAAGCAACATCATTGAGGTGTGCGGGAGGATTTTATAGTCACGGGCCAACTCAGTGTCAAGCACGCGACTATTCCGGCTATTTTGATGTCATTTTTAGTCGTTATTTCTCAAGGTTGTTTATGTCGTATATTTTGCTGGAAATTTTTTCAACAGACTTTTCGTTCAATATATAGCTTATTCAATAGAGTTTTTATCAACGAATGAAAATCACCATAAACTTGAATTTCCAATGTATTTTGCACACTTTGGCACATTTTTACATTGGAAAAAGAATGTTTTCTTGTAGTGAGAATAATTTTAACGATAACCAATCCCGTTCTTACGACAAAACATCATCATATGCATGATTTAACAAAAAAAGTTAGAAAACATAAACTAAGCCTTAGAGAGAAGGAACACAATATCAATACATATGATTTGCATTTCCAATGAATAAAGGCTTTCATATTTGCATCACAAAACCAAATCATATATTAAGTAATTTTGTTGGGTTCAGCTGTTAGGTTAGGACAAATTGGGTCAATCTCTTACGAATCCTTTGCTCCCCTATAAAAAATTCAGCATTGACATTCAGAGTTTTCATATTACATTTCTAACTTAAACCTGATTTTCAATTTGGACTAGGTCTAGTTGGCATGATTAAACTAAAATAATACGTAATGATTTTATTGAGCAATGCAACATTTCTTCAATTCAATCCCATATCCAAATCAGTGACTATGCTTCATTTATCCAAACTTCAATAGTTTATTGCTGCTCCCCTAAAGTTGAAATGTACAACATTATTTATATTACATCCAATCTCCTTTACTTGGATTTAACCCACGATTTACTTTTCCCTCAAACAAGACTCTTTAGTAAGCCACAAATGTCGCCTCTTATTTCCTCAGAAATATCGATTAATCCAAGAAAGTCTATTACTGACTATTGTGATAATCTGACAGAGTAGAAAGATAACTAGCAGAACATAAGCCTCACTACGCTATAACTCAGTTTAATCCTGATGAATATGAAAACCTGGATTTAATTAATCCAGTTTGGACTTGAGAAATGCCAAAGTCTGAATCAACTACGGCTATAAATAAAAATCGAATTGGCTGGATGAGCCTGGATTAGCTAATCCTATCAATACTTCGATGCAAAAAAAGCTCCATCTTTTTCATTACAGAATGTCAACTTGTACTGCAAATTGATCTAGCAGGAATACCTGATCGAGTAATAAACTAAAATACATGGTAGACGGAAACAAATCCTTCAAGAAAAATTTTGTTGGAAGAAGGATGCAGTTAAATCAACATCTCGAACATAAATTGCTTACAAATCCATGTGTAAAAATAAAAACAATTTGCCAAGGAAGCCTACCAGGAGGAAGCTCCTTCTTCTCTTTCTTCCCCGAGCCCTTTCCCCTCCGGCCTCCATTCCTCTCTACATCTTGTTTATCTCCCTCCACCACGCCGTTGTTCAGAAACTCCGGCGGCCCAACGACCTAATAAGAAGACAATCAACAATGCACGCCAAAATCAAGTAAAAAACACGAAATAGCACAAGCGACAGAAAAATGGACCTCCGCGAAGGCAGCAAAGGCGGAGGGAAGCGATGAATTTGAGAAGGGTGTAGAGAGATTAAAAGAAGAGTCCCTTTCACTGGCGGAGGGAGTCCGCCGGAAGGCTTGGAGGTCATCATCTTCATCATCATCGTTGGCGGAGCGAGAAGAAGAGGATAACCTCTCCTCTTGCTCTTCTTCCGCTGAAGAGTAGCCTTGTATGAGTGCCAGGCTCATTGCTTTTCTACCACCGGAGATTGAGCCCGCTGATTCCGATATATCTGAAGCTTCGCTAGGTCATTTGGTCGCGGCCTTCTTGGTCTTTTTTTTAAAGGGCGATTTATATGCAGAGCACATAAAAATATTTATTTTATATATTTAGCATTTACATTTTATTTTATATTTATATATCTGAAGCTTTAGACCTGTCAATATTGGACCCGACCCGAAAACCCGACCCAAACCCGACCCGGAATTTTCGGGTTTGGGTTGACCCGAACCCGAAGCGGGTCGGGTTCGGGTCCGAAAAATCGTTTTATTTTATATTTATATATCTGAAGCTTCGCAAGATATTTTTAGTGGTAAATCACATCAAAAATATATAATTAAAATATATATTTTTTATATTGAATAAATAAAGATAAGTGATATTTTTATTATTTTTAATAAATAATTTAAAATGTTAAATAACATATAAATAAATATTAAATATAAAATGTTTTCACATTACTTTCCATTTATATATCTAATATTTCTAAGCAAAATATATCGGCCGGCACGATAATTTTAGTAACGTTTTGTTGGCTCTAACTCAAGCAGAGTAGAGAGTTCTTCCTCGCGAACTCCGGGGAAGAGATCGCCTTCTCTTCTCTTCTCCATCTTGTCGTTTGTTATTTTAGTTTTTGTTATTTTCTATACCGATAATCGGGTTTCGTGTTGTTGATCCCTTCTCAAGTCAAATTCCAAAATCCACTTATTTTGCTTGGCGTCTTCATCAATGGAGGGGCTTTTTGGCAAATTGAAGAAACTAGATGCGTACCCTAAGATCAACGAGGACTTTTACAGCAGAACTCTCTCCGGAGGCGTAATAACTATAGTTTCATCCATCGTCATGTTTCTCCTGTTCATCTCCGAGCTAAGTATGCCCCCTACTTTTTCCCGTTGATGACAATTGGTTGAATTTCCTACTCATTTGGAACTTTTTCTACTAGGGTACTTAATATCTGTTGGCGTTTTTTTTTTTTTAAATTTAAAAATCGTTATTTAATGTGTTGGGTTGAGCTTAGGGTTCTGTTGTTGCCGGGAGATCCTTAACTTTTTTGAAAAGTTTGCAGCTTTGGATACTTTGTGCGGTCAATATACGTTGTTTCCTTTCTGTATTGTATAGGAGAGGCTTGCTATCCTTTGACTATAGAAACAATTCTATTTGACAGTCACATTGAATTTGCAAGGGCACTTGCTTCACTTTTTAGTTTAGATTTGTAGAAATTTCCATACCTTCATTTAATAGAACTGAATTGGAATTCAATTTAAACCTCATTCTTGTGCACAATATTTCTGGATGCTTAGTATGTTGTTCAAGATTCGTTTTGATACGATGGTGACAAACTTATGTTCATCTAGTTTTTGTCTAAACAATTATTAAAGGGATTGTTAATACAAGTTAAATGGGATACTTTTTTGTATGAAGGTGCATTGATATGTTTTGTATAATTGTTCTACAATAATTGAGTTCTTCCATCCTTCAGTGATTTTTAGCTATGCATGATAATATCCACAGGACATAGGTATTTTTAGCTTTCGCGATCCCCTCTCTTTGACAATTGTCATCAGAGATGAAGTTACTAAATCTAAAAAAATATCCATAATCAATTTTAGTTGTGCTTTTGATTTAACTGATCATGGTGTCAACTTCTTCTCTTATCCTCAAATCTCTTTGGCAATCCATACGCCCTCCATGTGAATTCTTGAAAACTTCACCAAACCTTTTTTCACCAAAAACCAATATAGATGGTGAAATCCTGTACCTTTAGGGTTTTAGTTTATTTTATTTGCAATAGTGATTTTACTGTTTTCAATATTTTTAATAATATTGCATCCAAAGCTTTCTTCATTCATCTCTAATAGCCACTACCTGCTTCCACCACTCAGTTAGGTTAGTTTTTGTAAACTTCACAAGAAAGAAGCATAAGAGAGGAAAGAAATCAGAAGTGTTAGTGAAAATATTCAATTTTGAAATAAAAAAAAAACTTAAAATTTGAATTTGAAATTCAAAAGAAGAAGAAGGAATTTTCAAATTTTAGCTTGAATTTGTATTCACAATGCAAATCAAATTTGAAAATTGGTTTCAACTGTCCTCTTCTTTGTCTCTATCTCAAACAACCATTTTACCCATATTGTCCATAATACTCTCTACATATGAAAAGCATCCTTTACAATTCCTTCAACTCCCAATTCTAAGTGGAGGTAGGAAATAGTTTTAAGAAGTTTCTTTTGAAATAATAATAGATGCTATATGAAAGGCAAATGATATATACTTTTTATTTGGGCAAAATTATTGCTTAATTGTTTTATCATTCCGATAGATAAAAAAATATTATAAAATAAGAAATAGTATTTTAAATTTGTTAAAATATGATTATAAATATAAAAAACCCCAAAATCGAGATCACGAAAATAATATTTCATTTCATGAAATAATTTGGGCAACATCTTCCTATAAATAGCACAAGAAACTTAAGTATGATACTATAACTATATGATAATACTCAATATAATCAGTTTAGATATCTAATCCATGAATAAATATAAATAAATAATATAAATTTTTCATCTATACATTGAATAAGTGGCAGATTTGAATTTCTACAAATTTGTAATAATACCAAAGTGATGTCAAAGGATGTCATTAGTAGCTAGTTGCCCGATTTTCTAGTGGTGATGCAATGGCTAGATTTGAAGACGCCGAGTGAAAGAGGAAAGGATGAGAGAGAAAATTGCTTAGGAACTCTATTTCCAAAATTGGGTTGGGGGGTGGTATGAAGAGTCTTGTGTTTTTTTATGTTAATAGTTAGGGTTTTTGGATTTCTTTCAACCTACTTCTTGAAAGAACTATGGGTATTTGATTTAAAACAACTGCTAGAAATCAGCTTTTCGCTACTATTGTGGGTGGTAACTTCTCATTAAAAAAAAGAAAAAAAAGCTTCTCATAAGTCATCTGAAAAAATAAACATGATATGTTTAATCGCATTTACGATGCAATAGAAAATTAATTTTTCATGTAAAAACAATTCATTCATACCATTAAATTTCTTCCAAGTTAACTTAGCTTTTGCTACCAATATAATTTGGCGGATAAAGGTGACTTTTTTTGGGTGAGGGTTTGTGTAATAGTCATTTGTTCATGGTTTTTGTCTTGGCGGTTTTTTGGTTTGAAGTAAGAGGGTGTCTAGTATTCTAAATGGAGGGGCTTTGAAAATATTGTTGTTTGGTTTGAAATAAAATAAATATATAGCAAAATTTTAAGGTATTTAGAATTCATCATTTAGTTCAATTTTGGTGTATTTGAAAATCTTAAGATTTGATTGATTTTTAAAACACTATAAATTCTCTTCTATTGCTGTTGTCGCTCGTTCACCAGCCAGTTGTTGTCGAGACTTGTTGGTTTCTTCTATCACTGCTTACTGTCGCAGCAGAACATCGCTGCCATTGCCACCATCTTCGCCAGCCATCACCGTCACTTCCTACCATCACTGCCTCTCACTGTCGCATGCCACCTGTTGCTCCCCGCTTATGGCCTTATGGTAGCATCTTCCCATAAATAGCACAAAAAAAATTTAGTATGATACTATGAATATATGATAAACACTGCCGTTGCCAGGTCCCAAGTCCTGGATGAGAAAAGTGGAGGGTTGCGTTAGGTAGTCGACAGCCAGCGTAAAACTTGTCGAACAATAATGAACCCCACGTAGTGGGATAAAGGCTTGATGTTGTTGTTGTACTATGAATATATGATAGTGCCCAATATAATCAGTTTGGATATATAATCCATAAATAAACTTAAATAGATAATGCATATTTTTTATCTATACATTGAATGTACAAGTGGTAGATTTTAATTTCTATAATTTTGTAATAATACCAAAATGGTCTCAAGACGTTCTAGTGGTGATGACAATGACTAGATTTGAAGAGGTTGAGTGAAAGAGGAAAGGATGGGCAAGAAAATTGCTTAGAAACCCTATTTCTAAAATAGGGTTGGAGGGTAAAGCAAAGAATCTTGTATTTTTTATGTCAATTGTTAGGGGGATTTTGACTTCTGTCAACCAACTTTTAGAAAGACCTATTGGTATTTGATTTTAAATAATTACTAGAAAGTAGCTTTTAATTAATATTATGGGCGGACAATTTCTCATATATCAACTGAAAAAGTAAATATGATATGTTTAGTTGCATTTACAATGCATTAAAAAATTAACTTTGCATGTAAAATAATTCATTCATAGCATTAAATTTTCTTTGAAGTTAACTTAGCTTTTGCCACCAATATAATTTGGTGGATACAACCATACTGTTATTATTATTATTTTTTTGTCAGGGTGTGGGTTGGCGTAAGATAGTCATTTGTTGTTGGTTTTTGTCGTGGGGGCTTTTTGTTTTGAAGAGTAGTGCAAGGTATTCCAAATGAGTGCAAAGTATTCCAAATGCAAGGGGTTTAAAAATATTGTTGGTTGTCTAAAGTAAATGAAACACATAGTAAAGTTTTAAAGTATTTAAAATTCACAATTTAGTTCAATTTTTGGTGTATTTGGAAATTGTATGATTTGACTACTTTTTAAATACACTATAAATTCCCTTCTATTGTCTCCTTTGCCATCACTCACCTCTATCACTGTCTGCGGCTGCCACCTTTTGTTGCCTCTGCTTGCTGTAGTTGGACATCGTCCGCTGTTGCCACCAGTATCGCCACTCGTCGTTGTCACTCTCTACCGTCATTGCCTCTCGTTGCAGCGGCCATTGTCCGTTATTGTCGCCACCCGCCGGCACGGATCACCACCATCATTGAGCTTTACATTGCATTCATTTTACTTCAAGCAAACAAAAAAATAATCATATGATTTACTTGCTCATTCCATTAGCAATTTCTCAACATCAACTCATTTCAAAATATCAATAAGAAACAAAGTTTTATGCGGTAACCACTGGCTTTTCAATATATTTTTTATGAATCGCTTATGGGGGGATTGGTTTTAGAATTTAGTAAGTCCTCATCAATCATTCAAACAACTTCATTTAATTAATTAAATGTCACAAGCATCTACCGACCAAGTGGTTATTCTGCAGTCCTTTGCTTTTTTCCTTATTTTTCTGTGTTTGTGACCCAAGTTTTTTATTCACAAGCACTTTTGAACTGTTAAGATCTTATAACAGTATTTATTCTCAATTTCATTGATCTTACCTGTCAATCTGCATGGGAGTTCTTATTTTGGGTGTTTATTTTCTTTTGTGGACGTTTGTTAGTTTTCTGACTGGCTTCTTTGTTTTAAAATTAATTGCTGTCCTTTGTTTCGAACTTAATTATTGATTTGTGGTAATTGGACTTGCTGCAGGATTATATCTCCACCCAGTAACAGAAACAAAGCTTCTAGTGGATACTTCTAGAGGAGAAAGGCTTCGAATTAATGTAATTGCAATGCTTCACCCTTTTTATCTTTTTATATTCAACTAGTAGATTTTAGTTTCATCAGATTAAGTACATGTTATTAAACTCTTTTGGCCTCTGCTGGAGTCCAGTTGGTGATCAGTATTCTGTTATTCCCAGACCAGTCCCTGGGACCGGTCCAGCCGGCCCTTACCCAAGTGTATAAGAGGCGGACAAGCTTGGTCCGCCCTCTTGAATTGCCGCCCATACATGGGTGGGGCCCACTCATGAAATTAAATAGGAAGGGAGGGGGTTGGCTAGGGCTTAGAAGGCTTAATTGTTTGCTTTAAATAAGAAAGAGAGGATTAGGGTTAGGGTTATGCAAATTATTGTGGCTGTTATTATTCTTGGAGTTTGTTGACTTGGGCTCTAGCGGCATCTAGGGATTGGGGGAGATAGATCCTCCTCTCGAATTGAAGATCAATTGCATATTGATATTTTCTTCTGTTAGTTTGATTCTTGCAATAAAACTACTGTTTTCTCTGATTTTTCATTGAATTTTTTCTTGCAATAAAACTACTGTTTTCTCTGATTTTTCATTGAATTTTTGGAGTTTTCTCACTGTTTAGTCAATATTGTTAGGGTTTACTTGAGATCTTCATGTATTTCCTAACATATTCCCACAGTCCTGCTGCTTGTCTGACGTCTCTCTAAACTTTTTTGCAATAATTTCCTATTTGAAAAGCCTCTTCTAACTTATTAATACATTTATACTTTTATATAATGAATAGCTTGTTGAGACTATTACGTAATGTAACTTACCTGTGTTAGCACTATCTAAACTCATATTTATGAAATCTTTCATTTCATAATTTTAATATTAGTGAGCGTAGTTGATACTTGATAATGGTATAGTACAAATGTGGTAATTGCTTTGAATATTTGAAAAGTTTTTTAATTATTAAAACTTTTAGTGATTATTTAAAGGACTGATACTACATAACTCTCGATATCATTAATAGTTAATTTTACCTTTGTATTAACTTGTAGATTCTCTTTTTAGATTTTTTTTTTTGGCTTTGTGTATGATTTTTTATTTACGTATCTACTACTTGATTCATTTCTATACATTTATGTTTACTAAATGCAGTTTGACATCACTTTCCCTGCACTTCCTTGTTCAATAGTCAGTCTTGATGCCATGGATATCAGCGGAGAAGAACATCTTGATGTGGTATGTATTTCTATTCGATGGGTTGATTTTATCTCTGTTATTGATTTGACTATTCAAAAGCAAAATGATTTATGAGTTAAACGCTTTAGACATCTCTACACCATTTAATTCATCTCTTGTGAATCTTTTCTTAGTTGATCTCTAATTTCTTTTCCCTGCAACACAACACAGAAACATGACATTATCAAAAGGAGAATTGATGCCCATGGTACTGTTATTGAAGTTAGACAAGATGGAATTGGTGCTCCAAAGGTCGGTTATTTGTTACATGATAATGACTTTAGGCGTTGTACTGAATTACTTTTATTTTCTAATTATTTGTTTTGTAAGAATGCTTTACTGTTTCAATATCAATAGTTTTCTCTTATCTTTTCCCTCATACCTTATGGCTAAAGTGCGGAAAAACTGCAGCTGGTGAATGCCTGCTTCAGCAAAGCTTGGTCAACTTTATACTTCAAGAAAGAATATGCTCCCCAAACCATGGATTCACCTAAACCATGTGATTAACTGAATTTATACTGTTTTCTTTATTTGTTTTTGACACATTTTTTCTTTGGCTCTTGCATTTCAGAATTGTCAATTAATAAGACACTTTTACACATCATATTCATTACAACATTGTTAATGTTTAGTAGCTTATTAGTTTTAACAATCCATTAATAAGATACTTTCGAATTCAAAATGCATCTTGATATTAACCAAAATGGCTAAGATAAATGAAAGTAATATATAATTGCTTATAAGCAGATATAATCCCTATTTCTTTGTCTGGAAACACCTACAACCCTTGGATTCTGCCTTGGTTCCAGCCTGTGCCTTCTCCGTCAGCAGCTCTTATCTTCAACCTAACTCAAGCTGGTGGATTCTACCTTCTGACTATCCCACGAGCCCTCTTTCCACTTCTAGCCCTTCATGCTGGCTCTTATTCCTTTTCTTCATTGCCATCCCATCTAATTGTAATTAATTTTGGAGCTAATTTTCGATCCGTAAATTGTATAGATTCTCTACTAGAAGTTCTCCTAGACTTGTAAAAATTCAACATAAATAATGAAAAGAGACGATCAATTCTCTAAAATTCTTTTTTTTACCTTTACATTCTATCAGGTTTTAGCTCTTATCATTGCATTGCCACGAACTTGTAACTTTCATTTCTGCAATTTTCTTCCATCCACCTAATTTTCTTGTAATTGTAGACTCAATTACTATAGCCTTGTTTCTATCCTTTTTTTGCAAGCAATTGCTGCCACTATTTTTTATTACCATGGATAAGTTTAAAATTTGGATTGATGAGTATAAAATTTGGTATTCATAAAAAAAATCTTTGCATAACTTGCGTTTTCTACAATGAGATGAAGGAAACATTAAGTACAAATATTTTACGGAAGGGCACCAAATATTTATGAAATCCACAATAAATAGCGGACACTTATTATTTAGGATTCTTCAGTAGGCAAGTTGTGTAAAATTGCTAGACAGATGAATAATTCTAGGCATTGGTTGCTGGCTTATGAAATATCTTTGAAATCCACCATTAATGGTGGGCTCAAAATATCTCTAAAATTCACCATTAACAATAAACAGAATGTCATCATCTAGGATTCTTCATTTCTTTGTGAGAAAGTTTTGTTGAATTGCTGGGCAGAGTATTGCAAAAGAATTCATAAGGAGAGGATTTATGTTGCATTTACCTAATCCAACATATATGAACGTTTCATTCACGTTTTTCAATTATAATTTGATGCTAAATTCTAGGTATTTTGTTGGAATTAAACTTTTTCATTGAGTCCCAAATCCCTAAGGCTTGGAATATATATTTCGGTGAGCACTTCTTTTGTGCTTCTGCTGTTGAATTAATAAGGGAATTCTGCTATAGCACTCAAAAGTTTCTTTTCTATCAAACTTTTGTAACTTTAATATTGCTAGTATACCGCCTTACTCTTGTTTGTGCTTGTGTTGGTTGAGTTGATGTTGGTCATCCTAATTGCCTTACTCTTGTTCTTCAATGTTCAATTTGCATTACGTGCCCTCATTGACCCGGATTTTATCTTTGTCCTCCGTTTTCTCTTTAGTTTGTTGGTTTGCTGGTAATGGTGTTGTCAGCAACATTTTTGACAACCTTGGCATTGCGGGCAGGAGCTTCTATTGCATGCATTAGTGTTAAATCTTTGTCTCTGGGTTGTTGAAGGAGCGAGGTGATGCCAGAACCACAGGTGGCCCCATTTTGGCTGGTGCTTGCCTCCTAAATGCTACTGTCATGGGTTGATGCTGGTATGAAGGAGAAGTGGGAGTATTTTTAAGAATATTGAAATTAAAATTAGCTGAACAATCTCGGAATCAGTAATGGATTCCAACCATTTTGCTATTTTGGAAGAGGAATTTTAAGTGGTGTATTAGAAAAGTCAAGTGTTTTGGCATTTGTTAGGAAATATAAACCCTCAAAAAGCTTGGGTTCTGATTAATTTTGTCAAAAGACTAAAGGTAGAATCTCACTTTGACTCTTGGAAGCAAAAGCTGTTGAAATAGTACATCATATTTTGCGGATATTTTGAAGCTTCCATGGTCAATTGGTCATGGTACTTTGGTGGTTTACTTTCTAGTTATTATTTCCTAATAATGTTAAGGTTCTTTAATGTTGGTTTCTTTCCTGTTATTGAACTGGTGGATTTATTCTCTCTTAACTTTGATTTTTATTTAGCAGATTGAAAAGCCCTTACAGCGACATGGTGGGAGACTAGAACATAATGAGACTTATTGTGGTTCTTGTTATGGTGCAGAAGCGGTGTGTATTTTTGTAATTTATGTTCTACTTATTATAATCCCAATATTTTTTCTTTACATAGAATAGGTAGGGATTCCATAAATCCAACCATTTTCATAATTCTAATGCTATTTCAGAATGATAATTTGTTGCTATTTATGCTGCATGATTCATGTCTTCTTTCGAATGATACTATTGCTTATGATTCTCTTGCTCCTGTGTTGGCTTTGTACATTTAAGATACAGTTTCATTGCTGATTTTGGGGGCTTTGGGTGTTAGGTCGTCCAGTATGACAAAATAGGCTTACGCTAAAACAAGCCCCTCAAATTTAATCTATAGCTTTTAGGTTAAGGATTATGAAATATTCTGACTTTTGGGTTTGTAGAAATCAATATATTTTTCTATTGAGCTAAGCAATTATGATTGAAAATTTTGAGACATGATCTGTAGTTTTGGGACTACAAATTAAACAGAGATCTTAAAATCTGTGTTCATGGATGGAAGTTTCATTTGCTTAGTTTGGATTAAGCAAATGCGTGATGTTTGGATTGAGATCCTATGCAAAATGATAGGAACCATTTGTTAATTTTGGCTCAAATAGATAAATGGAAGGACTTATAATTTGGTTCTAAGGGTTCTTGATGCTCACATCTCTTGAACTCTTTTAGAGGTTGTTTGGAAATCTCAAAATGAGTTCATGAAAAACACCAAATAAAGAGAGGTTAAATAGCAATGATTTAATTTATATTTGGTTCAACTTGAATTAAGGCAATTCTAAAGTTTATATAAAAGTTGTGACTAATTCCAAGGAAAGATTCAAAGATAATTGGAATGAATTATTTCAACCTTTAGGAAGCCTCACTGCACTACCCATAAAGAGAAAGAAATTCCTAATTGGTTTCTATTTTAGAATGTTTGGATTAATTTGAAATATAAAATATCGATTTGAGAGGGTCTAAAGATTAATTATGGCATAATGTATGACCTTAGAAGCACATAGAATGTAGTTTGCTTTTTTCGTACCTAGTTATGAGTTTTCGAAGTTAAGAGCAATTAATTATTTCATTTTTACTTATTTAAGCTTTGAAAAATTAAAAAAAAAAGTTTTAATTAACTTCGCCATTATGGGACATGGAACATAAACCTTTGAAGGTCTTTGAAAGATCCCACAACGGCTATAAGTTTTTTAAATTAATTAAATTCATTTTTTAGACATCCACCAAAATTCAGGAAAGATTAGAAATCATTTTTTTTTTTAAGATTAGAAATCTTAATAATTGTGAATTCCCAGATATTTAGGTTATTTTTGTTGTAACCTATGATTTGATAGGAACGAAATGTTACTTGTACGGATTGAAACAAGTGCAGAGCCATTTGAATGTAGTAAAATTGCCATGAATAACCTAAGATTTGATATAGGTGGAAGGAATATCCAATATGAATGTAATTTCATGCATGGGGGGTCATCGGACATCCAATTTATAAAAAGGAGCATGTTTAAAATCTAAATTAGTTTAAGAAGTAGATTAGTGAAAAATTTTAAAAAGTAGCAAATACGGAACTTACCTCTTCTGTTTTTATAAATTACCCCAATTTAAATTTTTTTTTTTCAGATTTTAGAAGAAACCGGTACATGAAAATCCTGTTTCTTAAGAAACCAAATTTAAAAATTATTGTCCCAGTTTCTTAAGAAACCAGATTTAAAAAATTATTTAATATTTTTATCAATTGAAAGGGACAATGCAAGCGTTGTTTCTTGGCTCCATGTATCCCTTCAGGCCATCAAAGCTGATGCCCGTCATCAGCTTGATCTGAGTTTTGCTTCCTTTCACAATTTAACCAAGTGATCTTCCGCCAATCTCTAGATAGGGGAATAAACTAGCGAACTTTTGTGCTAATTTTGCTCTTAGCTATCACTTTGTCTGGAATACCCATGATAGTGAACTTCCCTCTTCTTTTTTATGTTTGCTGAGGGAAGATAGAGATAGATCCATACACAGTTGTATTTTTTGTAATATTTTGTTTTCTCGTTAATGCAAAATGCAAGTTTCATGGTTGACCCTATATGAAAGCTTTTTATTTCCGTGAGTCACTTCAAATTCGTTTTACAACTCAACTTCCGACATTTTCCACAAAGTAAAATATAAACGGTTGTTAATACCATGAGATTCCACTAATTTTCCCCATTTCACCAACGTATACTGAAAAAATAAAAAAAGATTGCTAGTTCCCTCTGCCAACTATACCAAGTATGCATACTCTCTTCCAACATTTTTGGAACTTGATTAGATCATGTGAACAACAAGCTAAGATTTGAGGATTACATGGAAAACTGCATCATATGAATAATTAAGTTATTCTACCTGTAAACCGGAGGATAACTGGACTCTACTTTATTGTGCAAAATGGATGTCCTCAATGCTGATACATGGGGTCTATTTGCAGCTATAGTATGGGGCTCTAAAATTTGCTCTTTACTGATAATCTTACTTTGATATAATTAGATATCTATTTCGCTGAAACCTTTATTCTGTTTGGTTTGGAATATCATTGAATTGAAACCCTTGGTTGAATTTTGTTTAACTTGTGTGCCATGAGCTACTATTTAATTTTCTTAGAAGTGCTACTTGTATGTCATTCAAACTAACTATTTGATAAGTTTAATTCTGACTTCTATGCTGCTTCTTGTAGTCCGATGATGACTGTTGCAATTCTTGTGAAGAGGTCCGTGAAGCATATAGAAAGAAAGGTTGGGGGATGTCAAACCCTGATTTGATTGATCAGGTCTTTGAAATGTTTCTTTTTCTTGAGATTACTTTTAAATAATATTTGCAATTGATTACAAATGCTCCAACGTGAGAGATCATTTGGTTCATTTCTATAAAGTTCTTGTCATATGTCTTTTGTGAAAGTTATTTAATTGGCTACTTCGAATTTGCAGTGTAAAAGAGAGGGATTTCTTCAAAGAATTAAAGATGAAGATGGTGAAGGCTGCAATATCTATGGTTTCCTTGATGTCAATAGAGTTGCTGGGAATTTTCATTTTGCCCCTGGAAAAAGCTTTCAACAATCAAATGTTCATGTGCATGATTTACAGGCATTCCAAAAGGATAGTTTTAACGTAAGTAGATCTGCAACTTTTTTAATGTAAATTGTAAACGGGATATTAAAGAGCATTTCCAATTTAACTTGGCTCTGGCAGCTAATATTTCTTATTGATGTCGTCCCTGTTGCAGGTAAGCCACAAAATAAACAAAATTGCATTTGGAGACTTTTTTCCTGGTGTGGTAAATCCTCTTGACGGGTACTTTTCTTTTTCTCATTCTCTTTACTTATTATATGGGAACTTTTCTCTTACAGCAATCATCATCATCATTGGTGTTAGCACTAGTATTTGGGATTGATAATCTAATTTTTGATTCATTCTTAGTATTATTATATATTTATATGAATTGTCCATTCTATTTTGTGCAGATTTTGTTGCCCAACTTCTGTACATGTTATTTTTAGTATACCAATTTTACTTTCTGTTCTATTATAATTAATTTTATTCACTTGTCTTATTTTTTTCATGTTTTACCTGTTGTATTACATACACAAATCAAGTTAGGTTTATTTTCTTTTCATTTTTCTTATATAGAACCTACTGTCCTCATCCCTCAAATATTAGTCATTTTTCAATCTATCTTTCCATGTTTTGACGTGCATCCATAACTTTCTCAAAATTTTCTTGCTTAAATTGATTTTCAATGATCTCTTGCCACTGAACACTCAGATGCATACAACAAAACCAGCCTAATTGTTATTTTATAAAGTTTTTTTCTTTAAGTTGCCTTTTTTACCATATAGTACTCTCCCTCCTACCTTTCTCATTTTAACTACATAATCTTTGCTCTAGAAGTTATATCTTTATTTGTATCTTCATTATTTTATATGGTAGATACAAGATATTTTGAGATTTTATTTATTTTATACAAAATGTACACACTTAATACAACAATGATAACAACATCAAGTCTTTGTCTCATTATGTGGGGTTGGCTACATGAATTCTTTGTTTTCCATTGTGTCCTGTTAATAGTCAAAATTGATCATTAATGTAGTTTAACTATGATCAAGTGTTCTTGAGTTGCTTCATTTATATTTCTAGTTCAGTCAATACTCTATTAGACATATCTTCGTTAACTTTATCATTCCTGATAACTTAAATCATCTTTTTGACTCACATTTTTTTTAGTTGTATGCACCAATTCTCATGACATTTGATCAAAAGTTTTTCAAAGTATAATAAAAATCATATGGAAATCTTTTTATTTATTTATTTTTTTCATCAATTTCCCTAATATAGAAATAATCTCAATTATAGATCTTTTAGGCATAACACCACATTGATTTTATGATATCTACATAATTTTTACATCTATATACCATTACCATTTCTTATTGCTCATAAGTTTGATTTGTGTTTACTCACCATAATCTTGATCATCTTTTTTTAATAGTGGTATTATAATAATTTTTTTCAATCATTTAACATCCTCTTGACTTTCAAAATTTTATTAAAAATATTCATTAGCCAAACTGCTTTTGATCTCTAAAAATCCGTGCCCCAGACTCTCCGAGGACCCCTTTCTTCCTTCTTCATTTTTGGTTCATCAAGGAGAGTTTTAACGAGTAAGTTTCGAGGCAAATTTTCAGAAGGCAGATTGGATTGTGAATAAGATATCACTCCGGGATTTCACCCTCATTTTGCGAGGACTTTATGATATGAGTTCAGGTTTCCTATAGGCGCAAGCCTTTATAGTTAATTACCCCTTCAGGTAACGAGAGAGAACTTTCGATTATGCCTAGTCGTCAAACAGATATGTAGTATCTGGTGTATAGTAGCAGTGTGATTTGTTATTTGAAAATTTAATATTTAAAATTGGAATTTCACCATCTTGCACTTAAATCGGATGGTTGGGGGGGGGGGAGATGATGATGAGCCCGATCAAGATCCCATGGTTCCGTCATCTCAGGCATCATGGTCCCTGGTCTACTTAGTCAGAGGAGGTAGTCGACCCAAACTAACCGAAGGATCCTTGTCGACAGCCATGGTTTGTTTTGATTATATCATATTTATTCATATCTCAAGAATTTGATGCCATTGGGGAGCATACGAGCTTTGACCATGACCGTAATTTAGTGGTTCCACTTGACAGCAAACCACTAGGTTCAAAGAGTCTTAGTCATAACTGTTTACCTATGATGTCATTTCATGGTGAAATTGCCGGTTAAAGGATATGTGTCACGTTATTACTAGCAAGATATGGATTGAGAATGTATCTTAGTGATATTCTCGATCAGACATTAGCTTTTTGTGAGCTGAAGTGATTTTTAATTTGTCCAGTCCGACAAACTGTTATGGAGTGTGGATGAGTTTTCGCCTTAAGTTTAGATGATTAAGTTTTAATTGAATGTCTTAAATTTTTGAAAAGCATAGATTCGAAACTTTTATTTAAACTTGAGCCCCTAATTATTAATTTTGAGATTTTTGGCATTTCTTTGAAATTTGCGTGAACCCCTCCTGTTAGGATTTACATTCGACGCGGCCATCATCGGGGTATTTATGAGTAATTTATTTTCTCGGTTGAACATTGTCGACTTTGTCTATTTATCGACAGAGAATTTGGTTCATCACCAACTTTAGGCTTTTACTCATGATTTTTTTTGTTATAGACCTTGAAGGCCTAATATGAATGTATAAAATAAATATCTCGGTCGACGCTGTGACCGTATATTTGTTTGATAGTTTGAGCCGTGCCAAATCTTATTTACTCGCATAGGGGCGCCCATCGAGGCCCATGTGGGTGTACGCATTTGCAAGTATTTTGCATGATGCACTTTGTAAATTACAACATGTATATGCATATTATAAACGTGTCATTGTGCATGTCAGTGTGTAGGGGCACTTTTGTAATTATGAACTGTGCAAATGACTATCATTGGCAAGCATGCAAAGTCTCATTTTGGAATATGGAAATGGCTTATGTTTGCATCTACGAATGTTGCGGATCCGGTGGCATTGCTTAGCAGTACTGCAGGTCATTCGCTACTTTATGTGGGTTGATTATCGTGCACTAACGAATCTCCCGTATGAGCTTGCATTTGCTATAATCCTTTTTCTTTTTGCTTGTGGTTTTTGGTCTTTGTTGAAGAATGTCATATTGCATGTTGATAAAGGACTCCTCATCCTTGCAGTATTCTACTATTGCAATGTGCAGGTGAGCTATATTCATCATAGTCCTTTTGCATTGTGCTTGTATACAACGGGTCTCTTTCAGCAGCTCGTAGGTGCTTGTATTTGCTGTGTGTCATCCGCCTTTGCTTATAGGGGGAGTTGGTGTATTTGGTTGTAGATTGATGTTGACCGTCGACGAGTTGCATTCACTACTGATTTTTTTGCATATATTGATTAGCAAGTTACTGCATCTATTTGCATATCGGATTTGTGTTCATGGGAGACTTCTTCATGTATCGTGTTTATTCGAAGAAGTTATCATACTCGTCCCATGTTGACTGTTGTTATTCACATGGAATTGTTGTACTCATTTGCCATTGGATTGACATTGATTGCAAGAATATCGTTGAATTCATTGCATGTTAATTCCTTCTGCTGCTCGTAGGATTTGATGCGCTTGATTGTACACTAACATTGCCTATAGGGTGAGCTACGTTCACACTATATTACAATAGTGGATCTACTTTTGTAGCATACTAATGCTTGCATTTCAAATGTGTGTCAACATTGACTGTTAAATGGGTTGCACTACTTTCTTCATGCATATTGGTTGGCAAATCTTTGTTCGACGCACATCCATCCTTTCTATCTGTAGAGGATTATCGATGAGAATGTCGCATACTGATTATTCAATCTTTGCTTGCAAGCAATGTTTTGTACTATTGCTGGTTATTGCCTTTGTATGAACTACTGTGTATATGATTGGTTCTTGATTTTTGCTTGTAGATGAACCATCAGTGGATATTAACATTCTTCACATGTTGCATTATGTCCAACTACTTGTGCTGCTTATCGATTGTTTCGCTTGCACTTAAATCATTCATTCCTCCGGGGGCGAATCACGTTGAAGATTACAAGTTCTTTGTTTACTCATTGAAGTTCATCACGCGTATTTCCATCGACACATTTATATTCGCTTGAATGATCCGAGTTACTATTCGACATTGTAATTTTGTTATAATTGTGCATTTTCCAATTTGATGTTCAATTAATTGATTGGGGTTATTAATCAATATTTGCATTTCAATATGATTGTGCATTTTAGCTTAGTGTCCAATTCCCTGTTGTTCAAATTCAGTTCCTTGTGGCCTTGTTTGTATTCAAGTCCCGTGTTAATTTTGTTTAAGTCAGGAATTATGTTCATTAAAAATTTCAACAGCGCACCGACTTCTCTCCCATTTAGGGGAAATTCGAAGTGCTGGGCCTTCCCACCACGCTACGAAGAGCATGCATGGTAGGTATCAGACGACATCGCTACTGTGATTCAACCCCCACCACGCTACAAAGAGTGTGTATAGGTCTTCGAGGCACCTATTTGAAAACAAAGTTTTTTCCTCGCAGTCACTGAGGCACATGCATGAGTACTTAAAATTGTCCCCGCCACACTACGAATAGCGTGTACAGGGCATATCCGCCTCACCGAAAGATCACATCAGATTTCCTCCCACAATGCTACAAAGAGAGTGTATAGGAGATCTCCTCCGCTATGAGCGCTGAATGCGGGGTTTTGGAATATTATACTTGAGCAGGTGTCGACGGCGGCGGTGTCCAGGCAACGACAATGCATGAGGATCGAAACATAAATTTTTTTTTTTATTTTCTTTTTCTTTCTCCCATTTTTTTATTTTTCTTCCTTTTTTTATTTTTTTTCTTCTTTTTTTGAGTGGTAATAATAATAGTGATAATAATATGAGCAACAATTATTATTATTATTACTACTACTATTTCAATATCATTATTAATATAATTAATAATGATTATAATAAAAATTAAGCAATAATAATGTCAGGAAATAAAGGATTATAATAAGGCATTAGAAGGGTTTTTACTTATCAAAAGGCTGTCTCGTCGAGTTGAGTTTGAGTTGTGCTGGATTTGTGAGTTAGAGGAGGAATTCAAATGTTTGGGTGGAATAAGATAACTGACTGAGAGGGGAAAGCATAGTGGTTGCTATTTGGTTATGAGAATAGCAAAATATATGCTCAACTGCTCTGTAGTGTGGCTGACCGAGATTGGTATTAATGGGTTGTGTGGATCAGTTAAGGTTGAGGGGCGATTGGAGTTGACAAGAGGCAAGGATTGTGAGGTCGAAAGCTGTGGCTAGGTTCGGTTAGGTGATTGGGTCAGAGGTTGAAGGCTTGAATTGAGGCAGGTGCCGCTGACGGGTTGAAGAGGGGGGATCGGGCTATGCTGAGTAGATCAGCACAAGGGGGAAGAATCGGCGGGAGGTGCAGACAAGATCAGAATTTTGTGGCTACTGTTAGAGGCATCGGCGCAGGAAGCGGCTACGGGAACTAAATAAGAGGGCTATATGTGGAATCATGGCAGGAGGTTTGATCGTGAGGTCGAAGAGGGCAGTGAATGGGAGGTTTCGGCTATGTCGAATGCGGGTAGAAGAAATGACGGGTGGCTAGTGCGTGGACTCCCGATCGGGCTTGGTAAGAGTTGAAGATCGGGCTGGGTAAATCATAGAACAGGAGGCTGGTCGGATGTCTGGGAGTTGCTCGATAGAGAGGCTGGGACGGGTGTGTCGGATTGAGTGGGCTGCTGTTCGTGAAGTAGGAGGTGAGGTTAGTTGTGCATGTGTAGTTGACCTGGAAGAACAGAAACGAAGAAATTCTTTTCATTTTTGTTTTAACGACAAGGCCGAGTGGGCTTTGCGACCTAGGTAGGAGATTGTGCAAAGAAACGCGAGCGGCGTTGGCATCAACGCCGAACAAAAGTACGAGCTGTATACTTTCATTTATTTTTTATTATTATTATTTCGTCATTAATAATAATAATAATAATAATAAACTATTATTATTATTATTATTAGTTTCATTATTTCAAAGATAGTAAAAACAAATATTTTATTTGCCTTGATTTACATGCGACATTATCTCCGAACTTGCATCAATTTCCTTGCACGAATTTTGTTGAATAAATTTACAGTCGATTTTAGGTAATGTCGATGTTCCGAACGCAATGTCGAATTTCGTTTCGCGATTGAGAGTTGTTTGGGCAATGTCACTCGTCAATTTCCTCAATTCGCCTGCCGTTGCCTCGAGACCCACGCAAATCTCTTCGCACAGGTTTAATCGAACAAATTTATGGTCACTCTTGGGTATCAATGGCGCTCCGAATGTAACGACGAAGTTTGTTTTGCGATCGAACATCGTTTGGCAACGCCGCACATGAATTTCAGGTTTCGGTCATCCGTTTTGACCATATCGTCCAATTCGACTACAAGGGTTCCCTCTTAAGAGAGTTCGACATCCTGATTGCAATGACGCTATTCCTTTGACAATCGGAGGTCATCTGACCCTTCAAGTGATGCGCCTCATTGACGCGCGCCAGTTAAGTCATTGATTTTTGTTCTTTTTGTGCATATTTTGATGTAGGGCTCAACATTGCTACAATATCATCAACAACTCTCTATATCTCACTAAGTAACTCATTTAGTCTAAAAACGTAGCTTTATAGATATTTTGACCTAACTTCTTTTCTCTTTTCTGATTTATCTATAATATATCTTATTATTCTATTAATTAAAAAATTACTTCATCAAAACTCCAATTTGTAGTTTCTTACAGAAGCATTTTTTTTTTTTAATTATTGTTTCGTCATCTTTAATTAAAATCTTAATGTCATTGTGTTTCATGCATCTAACTTGATAAAAAATTGTAAATATCTTATCTCTTCACTTAATTATTTCATATATTTAATTTTTCCTTTTTTATTACCTAATCTAGTATATAAATTATCATAGTTGTGGCTTTTATTTTGCTTATTACCCTCTTTGCAAAGTTTCTAACTTATAATGGTTGTAAGCCCTACTATTATTTACTTTTTAAAAGCACTCTATTTTTCTTTAATAATTCACTCGTCCATCATGTCTCTTTTTGTTTGAGCTATTTTTTCAAGCTTTTTAAAAATTATGGCGTAATTTTTTTGGAAGTTCATCATCATATCTTTCATCATCAGACTTGATCGTTTTGTATATGATCTAACAGTTAGCCTTCAAATTAGTAGCTTATGATTTCATTGATAATTATGTTTGAAAATTGTGAATTACTCAGTGTTCAGTGGATACAAGAAGCGCCATATGGGATGTACCAGTATTTTATTAAGGTTAGTGAAGTTTGATTCTTCTGTCAGACTCTATGTTAAACTTCTTTATGTTTCAATTTTTTGTTGGTACATTTCTAAAGCTAATACCTTAGCACTTTATTTACTTGGCTCTTCTATTTTTTATTGATCTATCTCAGGTTGTTCCTAGTGTTTATAATGATATTAATGGGCAGAAAATTCAATCTAATCAGGCAAGCCATGAATCTTTTGATTGAGTTTGTTCTTTAAAAATCTTTCTAATGATTTTTTAATATTAAGTTTGTTTTCTCAGTTCTCTGTGACGGAACATTTTAGGGCTGATGAGGTTGGTAGGGTTCAAGCCCTTCCTGGAGTATTCTTCTTTTATGATCTTTCCCCAATCAAGGTAAGAACGAACTAATACTACAAAATATGACCTCCCTGAGTATTATTATCTGCGTTATAATCATCAATAATTTTAATTTTATTTTTCATTACAGCACGGCTGTAGTGGATTCCCTGTATTAAACTTCTTTTTATTTATTAATATCTTCTAAGAATTACTGTGCTGATACATTGCTGATGATCCTGTAAATTTGCCTGGATGAGTGTTTGGTGACACCTCCAAATTCTTTTGGAATCTTTTTCTGAAAAATCTCCAAATGAAATCTTATTTTCGGCATTGTTTTAACAACTATAGCATGCTCTTTACATTGTATGAGTTTCAGTTGGAGAGAGGTTAATCTTTTGCTCTAGATTGTGATAGGAAACACTTGAAGATCTCAAGAATTTCGTATCAATCTTTGGGAAACAGCGAGAATTCTCCACAAAAATCAACACAAAACCAGGAAAACAGTAGATAATTTGTATTATTTGATGAAATAGAAACGAAAAATACTAGGATAAAATTGATCCTCTATTTGAGAGGAGGATCAATCTCTCTTAAATCTCTAAACGCTTCCAGAGCCCAAAAATATAAGCCTAAGAGATCTCAAATTTCAGCCAAATTCAAGATGCCTTAACCCTAGGAAAAGAAACTATTTAATTAATACAATTCAAAAGGAAATCTCTAAACAATCCCTACATTCAAATTTCTTTCCCAACTCTTAAAAAATCTTTTCTAAACAGCTTTTTCTAGAATCGGCGGCTTGTTTGGCACGTCAAGGTGGTGGAACTTCAGCTTGTTTCGTCTGTAAGCCGGTCCCGTATGGACCGGCTGGACCAGTCTAACAGATTGGCAAAACTACGTGCCTCCTTTTCTTTTCCTAGTGTTGCATGGTAATTAGTTTCCAGGCTATTTTAATTTCAAAAGATCCTTATGTTGTTTATTCATTCTGGAAAGATATCATGTTGCACGTTTATTGTTTTGACGGACACTTTAAAGATTATTATATGATGAAGTTAGAAGTTGTTTCTTTACGAACGGCAGTTCAGATTGATTGGGCAGCTCATGTTAGGACAATTTCATTGAAGAAAAAACTCTCTTTCTCTCTATATTTGTTTGTGCTGTTTATTAGGTTTAATTTATTACGTTGCTGCATTGTAAAACATATTTGAAATAGGACATTTATCCTGAACATTGTCTGCAGGTAATTTTCACGGAGGGGCATGTGCCATTCTTACACTTCCTAACTAATGTGTGTGCTATTGTTGGAGGTATCTTTTTCTCTCTTATCATTACGCTGCAATTAATTTTTCTTGAAGTATGCCAATGCTCTCCAAAACATTACTCTGTGACTGTCTTAATTATTGAATACTGACAGAAAACCAGATCATATTTTGGGTTCATTAGGTCTGACTCCTCATCAATTGTCTCAATGCTTGGTTTCTCAAATTTAAGTTATTTCAGTTTTTAAAGAGTAATGCATGTAAAATAAAAAGTGCATCGGAATTATTAGCTTATATTAAATCTTTTAGTATTGGATTTTTGGATAAATTATTATGTGCGGACACCGGACGCCGTCTGGAGCCAACCAGAAAGTGCCACGACATTTTTTTGTTAGGTACTGGTGCTGGGTACCGGATGACGGGGTGCGTTCTGGTTAGTCTCCGGACCGTCCGGTATCCGCATAGAATAATTTCTTGGATTTTTGAGGGTGCATACCTATTGAAAACCTTCATCCAGTTTGACGTGTTTGCTTTAAAGTTAACATGCATGCTATTATTATAGAAGTTTCAAGTTTAGTTGCTTGATTTCCGAATGCAATGAAGTTTTGAAAGAGCGGTTTGTTGCGCCTTCTTCTTGATGCGATGAAAAAGCATTTTCAAAACCAAAATAAATTGTCTAGTGATATTCTTTGTCTATAAAGCTACTAAGGAATATACATCCTTTAATAGATTATTCCTTTTTCTATCTGCTGATAAAAATATTCATATATGCCAAATAACGTGCTTATAGTTTTTGGTGGTTACTAGCTAATATAACGGCTAGTTAGTGTTAATGGTTAATTTTGTTAAGCCTTTAATTCACTACAATATGCTATCAGTTAAATGGTAGATAATAAGTGGTTTAACTTATTATGATTTTTGACTAATGAACTAGCAATTATGCGTTAATAAGGTTATTGCACATCCGTTCTTATCTATTTAGTGGCGAGTTAAGATATCAGAAATTGATCAACTAATTAGTAGAGAATTTAATTATATATAGTTACTAACAATGAAAAGTCAGTAGATATAATTAGTTGTTGATTTATCAGATTTGATCTTGAGGAATGTATACTTAGTCGCAATTAAATTCATTCTTCTTATGGAGGGTAATTAGCGCATAACTAACTAATTAGTTGATAATCAACCATACTTGATTATAATTATGAAGTAACAAAGTTAATGGAAATCTGAAAGTCTTTAAACACAATCACTGCGTTGATATTATTTTGGCTATTAATTTCTTGAGTTCATCTTTTATGTTTTCCCAATTTATTTTCTTGTAATTTGCCTATGATATTGAGAGTGGAATTTATTCTTCAGTATTTTGATTACCTTATTATATTTGGTTTACTGCTGCAATTGTTCAGTTTGTTTACTTTCCCTGTAATTCAACATGCCAGCAGTGTTTGTTTTCTCTCTATAGTAGCTTTGTGCTACTTTCTGCTGGAGTGCAACTGATTACCTTTCTTATATGTCTGGTTTGCCTTTTTGGAAAATCATTGCAACATTAATTGGGGACTTGATGTTTCATGTGTTTTAGAATGCCTCTAGTTGTCTATTTCCTTCTATGTGAGACTCATGGCATTGTAGCAGTTTCAAAACTTTCCATGCTTGTTTGTTCTCTTACTGTTACTATAGCAGAAAATCAGTTTTTGCTGATTTTGGTACTGTAGCCATGTTCAGCTATTCTTCTGTACTCATATGTGCACCGTGAAAGAACCAGAAATTGGAGCTTTATTGCTTTTGCTGAATTGTGATTTGAAATTTCGTCATTCTCTCTGAAATCCAAAGGCACTAAATGAAGCTGATAGTTGTAGGCAGATATTTGAGGACTATAAGAAAAGATTAATTTGGGGTCTCTTGGCTAAAAGTGGTGCCCTTGAGGCTTATATTTTACATTGGTGGTTGAGTAAAATTTACATTTATAAAATTTATATGATGTAAATTTGCTACATTGAGTCAACGCTTTCCCCTGAGAAAGAGCATCATCTGTAATTGGCCACAACCACTAATGGATTCATTCAAGCTAGGCAAGACCCCATAGTTTTTCCCCCTTTTATGGGATTTCCACTTAAAATTTTTGGTCTCTTATAAACGCCACAGCCCCTCTATCTTATATATTATCGTGCTAGATCTTCATACTAAGTTAAGACGTTAAATTATATATCTCTTTGCCTCCGTGAATTTTTTCAGTACGCAAAAATGTTTGTTATAATTTTTTTTCTCAATGTAACTTCTATCTTGCCATATTAAAAAAAGCATCTGATAGTGATGTACTATTTCTATTGCACCAGGTATTTTCACTGTTTCAGGAATAGTGGATGCATTCGTATACCATAGCCAAAAAGCTATCAAGAAAAAGATGGAAATTGGTAAATTCAGCTGATCATTGAACTCTTTATCAATCAATCAGCTCTGCAGATGGATGGAGAATCTGCTGGAGATGATACAGAAACTGTATGCATTGATCTTCACAATCTGGATTACTTTGCAATCAAAACCGAGTTTTGAGTCCAACAATGGAGTTCTTTAATCTTTCTTTTCTTCTATTTGTCTCCTCATTCGGGTGCTGTACTCTGATATTAAAATTTTGGCAATTTGATTTCTGGATTTTCTATGGGTTCTGTATAGGAACAGTTGTTGTCTTATAGGAAGGGATGCTTGGGGTAGAGTAAACTTCAGTTCTGGTTTGAGAGTAACACTTTGTAAGAATATATGAACATGAGATCTCAGCAAAGAACTAATTGGAGATTTCACAATGGTTTTTCTTAAGAACTAGTTTGGATTTAGGCATCTTTCGGGACAGTTTTCTTCGTGCGTCTTAAAGTAGTTTTTTAATAAAAAATTAATTTTGTTGTACTAAAAAGTCATTTTAAGAAGTAGTAAGGAAGCCGTCCCAAACGAAACCTTAATCTTTTCATTTCATTTGATGTTGTTGATGTTGATAATAGTGATAATTTGTTCATGTATACTTCGTTTGGGATGGTTTTCTTACGGCTTAAGGCAGCTTTTTATTATAAAAATTAAAATTTTTTGAGGCAATAAGAAAATCATCTTAGATAAAGTCTTAGGCTTCATTTCGGATTGTTTTTTTTATTATTATTTTTAAACTAATTTTTTTAGCCCAAAAATTAAATTTTTTGTAAATTATTTAAAGCAGCAGTAAGAAAGTCATCCCAAGTCAAACCTTAATAGAGGTATTGTTGGCATGTATTCTCAGTTGTTTGATAATACAGTGAGTATTATTTGATATTTTTTAATATTTGAATTCAGCTGACAGTGCTTACATGTTGATATTATGCAGTTTAATATTTTTTTAATCTTACTTAGGATTTGTTGGGGCAGATAATCTAAAAGTGCTGATCTTTTTCTCATTCATAATATTTACTTATGTAGCCGACTCCATATAGTGGGATAAAGATTTTATGATGATGATGATGTTGTTGTTAAAATATGAGCTCCCAACCATCCAATTTTTCGTCCTTGTTAACCTTGCACCCATTGACAAAGTAATTGTTTGTTGTCGCTGAAATGCACGCCCACTATCGATTAATTCCGTTGTTATTAACAACCAAATTCCCCCCACCGTGAAATTATTTTGTGCAGACTTTGGACGTAGCTCTACGCCAGCTGAGTGCACCATCAACCACTTGTGTTGAAGTTGATCTCCATCTAATCCAACAACACCTCTAGTCATAATTTTGTGCCCTCTTTCAAATCACTATATATATATATATATATATATATATATGTGTGTGTGTGTGTGTGTGTGTATGTTCTCAAAAAATTATCTTGATCGAGCAAGAATCTCGAGGCAAAATCGAGCCGGAAATTTCAAGAATTAAATTCGGGAGCATCTGAACTCCAATTTCAGCAAACTTATATTCAAACTGAGCGTCTCAGAAATACGAACCAAACGACACAAAATTCAACTCAATCCGAGCCCAAATGAGTCCAAATCAAGGACCCAAAGTGTTGTTGGAAAGCTCGTACCACAATTTGAGTTGTCAAATGATCTTCGAACTTAGCGAGCTTATAGTCGAATCGAGCGGCTCGACGAGACAAATCCAACGAGCCCAAGATCGCCGAATTCCGACATCATTAAGACATTCAAATGTCTGATGAACAGTGTACGATCAAAGGATTCAATATCAGCCGTCCTTTCGACCACTCTCTATTTGTCCCTGATCTCACACATATTTACAAGCTATGTCACTTCAAGAAATATATAAATAGACCCCTCATTTCTCATGAGAAGGAACCCAAGCAAGAAGAAGAGAAGAGAAGGATAGGAGGGAATAACTCCTCCTCAACCACCGTCAGAGTTCTGTCCGACACTCGAGTGACTCCGAAATTCTGTTGGACGCCCGAGTGATGCCGGAATTCTGCCCGATGCCAGAATTCTGCCCAACTTCCGAATGACACCTGATTCCGCCCGACCTCCGAAGGACGTCAGATTTCTGCACGATCTTCAAGTGAAGCCAGAATTCTTCCCAACTTCCGAACGACACCTGATTCCGCCCGACCTCCAAAGGACATCAGATTTCTGCTCGATCTCCAAGTGAAGTCGGAACTCTTCCCAACGTTGTAATTGGATTTCAATCCGAAATTGAAGCATAGTAATCTAATCGTCCTAAATTTTAAGGACAAGTCAGCCTCTTGTACTTCAAACAAACACTAGTGGAATTATTTCAACTGGGCGTGGCCCCATGGTTTTTTCCCTTTCCAGAGTTTTCCATGTAAAAATCCTGATGTTTTCTTTTTCTTTTCTGTTTGTATGCTGGATATCTGTACAATGTTGAGACGAAAATTTACTAACTCTATCGCCGCGTATATTCTAGCCCGCAACAATATATATATATATATATATCTTACAATCTATAAGAATTTTCAACAGTATGACAAATTCAAACAGTACAAGCGAAATAAAATCATAAATAGAGACATTTCATTTAAATTTACAATAAATGTCAATTCTAATGAGCAATAATTAATGACTATTTTTTTGCTAATTTTCAATTAAAAATATCATTAGTGAGGGCCATATAATATAAAGTTAATTTATAGGGAATATCGACTTTAAATTTCAGTAGAAATTTAGAAAATGACCTTTTCATTCTCCAACAAGAACTAATAATAGCACATTAAGTCAAATAATAAATAACAAATAGTTAATAAACACTTACTAGAGTTTTTTAATTTAAATAAATTTTAATTACTTTTAAGTAATAATATAATTATTATTTTATGACTAATAAGTGTTTATTAATTATTCCATATTTATAATGATAAATACAAATAAAATATTAATGGACTTAAGAAAACATTATTTAATCTATAATTTCTCTAAATGGTTCATTAATTCTCAATCCTTAATTATAATTAACTAACTATATAACCTACCTTATTTTTAATTTCATATGATTTTTTTCGAATTTTTTAATTAAATCCTAATTAAGTATTAGGCAATATAAATATTTAACTATTAATGAACTAGTTAATTAATCAAGGAATCAAATTATATCAAAATATCAAAAATATTTAGAGGCCTCCATTTTTTTCAAGATGTGGAGAAGTTGGTAAACAATTTTAGTATAACTCAAACAGAGAAAAAAAAAAGGAAGAATCATACTCTCTCTGTCTCGATTAATTATTTTGTGTGGACGTCGAATGTCATTCGGAGATCAATCAGAATGCACCACGTCACCCCTTCACTCGGTATTGTTAACGTCGCGCATTATGGTTGGTCTATAAATGACGTTCAGCATCCGATCTTCACATAGAATAATTTCTCCTCTCTCTCTATGTATATTGATTGTCAAAATGTAAATTTAATATAATAAAATTAAATTCCAAAAAAAAAAAATTTAAAGTATTTATCAATTAAATTAGCTAACATCTCATACGATAACATTGCTCAACTTGTTTCAAGATGCTGCTCAATATATATAGTTAAAGGACTATTTTAATCCCTCAAACCCTTTAAAAAAAAATCATAATGAGACTATTTTAATTTCTCTTTTAAATGAAGAATCAAAATAATACTTGAATATAATTAGGGAACATTTTAATTTTTCATAAACAATCAAGAGACTATTTTGATCATTTTCTTTTGATTTTTATATATAAACATTAATTTAAATTAAAATTAAAATGGGTGGTTCATTCACATGAATTATAACTAATAATATTGCCTCATTTAGTATGAAGACCATTTATTTATTTTCTTTTTCTATTCTAGAAAAAATATATTATGATTAATAATTTCTAACTATTTAAGTAATTCTTTGTTGGCCCCAACACCAAGAACAAAATAACATAGCTAAATTATCCAATTGTAAAATATTTGTCTACTAAATCTTTATATTAAGCACTCAGAGTCAACCCTAAAAATTATAACCTTGATAATAACTTAATCTACCAATAAAACCAAGTGATAATTACTGATTACCAAAACCAAACTAAAAGTTGTATATACCTCACATGAATAAGTTTATTATATTAAAAAAGAAAAAACATAGTCTATAGAAGGAGAAATTATTCTGTGCGTAGACCGGACGCAGAATGTCGTCCGGAGACCAATTTCAAACTATTCAAGTAATTCTTTGTTGGCCCAAACACCAAGAACAAAATAACATAGCTAAATTATCCTATTGTTCAATCCTAAAAATTATAACCTTGATAATAATTTATTACCAAAACCAAACTAAAAGTTTTATATCCCTCACATGAATAAGTTTATTATATTTAAAAAAAAAAACATAGTCTATATAAGGAGAAATTATTCTATGTGTAAACCGGATGCAGAATGCTGTCCGGAGACCAACTAGAATGCGCCAAGGCAATAGTGCTGAGCTGTGGTACCGAGCACAGGGATGACATGTCGCATTCTGATTGATCTTCGAATGCCGTTTGGAGTCTGCACATAATAATTTATCCTATAGAAGAATAAACAAGACCATTCATTGTAAGCTATTCATAAGGCAAACCAAATCAAAATCTGTTCAGCAGAAATTCCAGAGGAAAAGAAGCTCTCACATGCTAAAAAAACATTTTAAAAAATACCTTTGATAGTGCACATTGGTCAGATCTACCACAATCAAAGAGTGTCAGTAACGCACCTTCTGAGGCACTGGAAATAAACTTAGATTTGGAAAAACCTTACAGAATATGAACCTCTTGAAATAATTGTAGCAAATAGCAGCAGGACTAGAATGGAAAGATAACCCATCACCACATGCATTTCCCTTGCTAAGGAGCAATGGCTCACTCTGGTGTTGGTTTCTCCAAAGGAGGCAAAAACAAAACCAGGTCTACCGCCTAAAGTCCAAGTCATGGCTGGCACAATAACTTCAAGTGTTCCATCACTGTGATTGTAGATGTCGAAGTGTTGTCTGTGAGCACTGAATACCATCCTATAAGAGGAAAATATCATATTAGAGATAGTAGTACTTGTGATGTAAACTACTGGAGCAATTAAATAGATCTAACTTAGGCTTCGTTTGGGACGGCTTTCTTATTGCTTCTTAAAGCAGCTTCCTTAAAAGGAAGATGCTTTAAGAAGCAATAAGAAAGCTGTCCCAAACGAAGCCTTATATTGCATTGTCTCCCTATTCTTATTTTGCACCGAGTACAACCACAAAAATACTGAAGACACATGGTGTCCTACATGAGTAAAAGTACCATTGATCGTGAGGGTATGCGGTCCTTAAAATTAAGGCTTCATTTGGGATGGTTTTTTTACTGATTCTTAAAACAATTTTTTAGTATTGTACTAGAAAGCAACTTTAAGAAACAGTGAGAAAGTCATCCCAAACGAAATCTAAGTGATTGGTTGAGAAGAAGCAACAGTAAGTGTTTTAAATGTATTAAATTGTTTTCAGAGCCTAGAAAGCCAACTTAAAGGTCTAATTCATGTGTTCCACAAAGGTTCCGTAATTATAGGTGTGATGGGTGTTGAAAATGCAGGAGTTCAGGAATATTATGGGGTAATTATAATAATAAATAGGTTATTAAAACATGGGTTGAGCATAAATTATGTTGCTTGGATTAAAAAAAGCTAGATAATTCATATTCTACATATTGAAAATGAATAAAGCATTCATTCTATTGTAAGGAAGTAAGGATCCTTCAAGAATCAATATCCTAGAAATGGTCAAAAATAAAAATACAAAATCAAGAAGCGTGCTCAGTTCTTGTTTGAGAAAGAATTTCTCTTCTTTAGATAAATGAACTCAAGAGCAATACAGAATTAAGCTAGCAATGCCATTGAAAAATCAAATCAAACGTTACATATGTAGGTTTACATATGTAGGTTTGCGTACGTTTATGTTAAATGCACTTGATGATAAAAGAAAAGGAAAATTTTTAAATAAATATACCATTAAAATGTTCTAACATTTATATTTCCTATAAACAAGCTGTGAAAATATAAATAATTTTAATAAATCAAATAACCTTGGCCTCAGAGATTGCAAGATATACTCGGTCTCATTCAATGGAAGAGTTTGCATCAACTGGGGAGATACGGCTTCCACAGTATCACTGAAAAACAATGAAGAATAGTAAATATTCAATGAAGTCCATCAAAATGTAAGCTTCTATCGTAGTAAATATCCACAGTTTACAATCAATCTAATTAACATGAAAAGTTTGCAGAAGGATTATTTGCTTACAAGCTCTTCCCAGACCCACACTTGTACCCAATAGCATAGAATAATCAATTCATTGAGTGAGAATCCATCAGTACCATAATTACTGTCCATAATATTGTGGGGACAAATTTTTGAAGTAAAATTAGTTTTAATTTTAATTTTTTTACGTTTTTATTATATGTAAAAATGTTTTAACCATTTTTACTTTAAAAATTTGTCCATATTGTGGTTGGGTCGATTATATTGGGGCCCGCAGGCATACTGCTTGACAGTGGTGGTGAAATACATGAGATGGACAACTGGCTCACAACTACTTTTAGTACGCACATTTTGCTTGGCTTGGAGCTGTGAAAAGATACATGAGATAGACAAGTAGCTTAAAGCTCTTTCTAGGATAGGGTGAACCAAACTGTCAGAGTTGTTTAGCGCAGAAGCAAGAAATAGAATCAACTTGTTTTGGCAGATAAATTTTTCAGCTGCATCTTTTTGGTTATTGTTTCTAAAGGAGATCAGCAGTTTTCTATACCTTGGATTGTGATAGTTGGACCTTATCTTGGATTAGTTATTCTGTGCGGACGCCGAACGCCATCCGGAGACCAAACAGAATGCGCCATGTCGAGCACACCACGGCTTGGTACCGCTAACATGGCGCATTTTTGTTGGTCTCCGGACGGCGTTTTACGTCCGGTCACCGCATAGAATAATTTCCTCTTATCTTGACTTGATTTTGGTTGAAATGGATCATAAGGAAGATCATTTTCTTCTGCAAATTTATGGTACGCCTTTTATTGCTCCTAAGCAGGTTGATTTCCACTCTCCTCTCTTGTGAACAAAATATTTTAAGAACATACTGTGCAAATCAAATTGTTCTCATGGAATTTGATCTCTCTGTAAATCTACAAATTGTGTTCATTAAGTTTGAATCATACCAGTCTTGGTATTTTTACTAACTATCGCCTCTCACAATTCATCAGACTAAAGATCAACCAATCCGAGGATAAGTGGCTTTTTCTGATTTTGTGAAACTCTAATATATCACAAGAAATAAATACTCCTTAGCCCAGGTAAAAGTTACAACACAAACATGGTTTTCATCCTACTAAATTGACTTGGCAGCAATTCATCTCCTACATTATAATCTAGGCTACCTGACAATACTAGATAAAATATATTGCTTGCCAAAATAAATCTCGACCTCCCACACCATATACATACTTCATCTAAATAGCAGTCATTGATTGCTATGAAAGAATAGCATATATAAGTCTAGGTGGATTTTATTTGTCCATTTTTATCTTATGATTGTTCCAAATTTCATACCGCATTTAAAAGTTGTCGTTTGATGAAGTAATTAACATGTTTGAGCAAAATAGTATACATTACATGAAAATTCTATAGTCTAAGGTGAGATGATTTCAAGTTATAAATATTTAAGAATGAGTCAATTTGCATATTTTAAAACATTGCCAACTAACTACAACCAAATATGAATGATATTTATGTTGAACTAGAAATGGGTTTTATAACAATAGGAGTCTTAGATATGATCAAAAGAGAAGCATTCCTCTAGATTAAGGATTTCATAATATCATCATTGAGAACATAGATAAGAAGTTCACAAAAATCTTGACAAAGAACTAAAGAATAAAATAAAAATAAAAACTTGCTACCACCTATCAACATGGACGGTACCATTGTGTTCAAATTTCTGAAGATTTTCATTAAGAGTATTGTTTCTTTCATTGTTCATTTCTGCTGCACGGCTTAGAGGGAAGTGAAGTAAAAGAACAGGCCCAGATCCAGAAGGAGGGTAACTTTTCAATGAGGGGAAGCCATCGTTGAGGATGTTTATCTCATCAGACACAGCAGCCTCGAGCAGTGAATCCTTCGACTGTTCTCTTAGATCAAAGCTTTCACTCTCTATCAGCTTTTCAACACCAAAACGCAAAGCATTCTCATTGCAGAGCAAAGCAACGTCATTAATCAGAAAAAAGCTCACATTTTCAAACCTAAAAGATGCCGATCCCGTGCGGTCCAGTCCCGGTAGGTTGTTTGCAATCTTAGCAACGGACTCTTCATCTAATTCAGAGCACTCTCCAACATCTCTCTCTCCAAGCCCAACAACTAGAGGAACTCCATCAAATGGACCAATCACTCGTTTTAATTGCTGCAACACTACCGACCAGTCACCCTTCCCGAGCTCCAACCTCTTAGCCGCGATATCACCCAAGATCACAAGCATATCAGGCTCCAGCTTCTCATAGGATTTCTGATAGATCAATAGGTCATAGATCATAGAACTCATAAAATTATTTGCAATTTCCAAACAAGGAACCTCGATTCCTCGTATGTATACACCAACACGATCCTAAGAAAGGATTACCCTAAAGAAGCGGGATATGAAGATGTTCCGGAAGAAGGTGTCGGCGTAGCCCGCATCGGGACCCTTCAGGAGAAGATCGGCAACTATCATCGCCTTCAACTTGTTTGAACCGACGGCGCCGCCTCCATCGGATATGACGCAGGAGGGTACGGTAATGAGGTCCTCGAAGATTAGGAATGCGGCGATCAAAATAAGCGGCAGCACCAATCTCCAATCCGCCATCACAGATCAGAACGTTCTCTTTACGGAAAAGATCGCCGGCGATTGCATCTGGGTCCGAAAGATCTACTAGCGCTAGGGTTTTTGGTCGCTGCCGACAACGATCGCCGTCGCCGAACTTCTCCCCTCCATCGTCCCGCATTAAATAACCGAGCTGGGAAATAATTGCAGTCATGGCCGCGGCTGGGGATTATAATTAATAATTTTTTTAATATTTAGCGCAATATTTTATCAAAATAAAAATAAATAATTAAATTGAAAAAATTTTGCCCGCTCAACATTCTCAAAAGAAACAATCAAGCTGACTTGGAGCTTAGCTGTATTGAATTGGCTCATTAATTTTATAAATATTAAAGTTTACTATATTCATATTCATATGATGGTCAGGGTGGTGAAATTTAACTCAAATTTTATTTCTAAAAAAAATTAAAGAATGTTCTCGATTTAAGTGAACGAAAGATCAAATATGTCACGAATATCTTAATTGTCGCACACCGAGTTTTTTTAGGTCTAATATGATTAGACGATTTTTTGCACCTTCAATGCTCAATAGATTGCTTGTTCTTACAAAAATGCTCCTATTAGTTCTTACATGTCATTATTTATTTCCAATTTGCCTTAGTTGGAATGTTTGATTTGTCGTCACCAATGCAATTACAAGATTGTTGTATATAATGTGTTATATTCAAATTAGGGGTGTAAGGGAGGCCGGCTGGGGATTATAATTAATAAATTTTTTAATATTTAGCGCAATATTTTATCAAAATAAAAATAAATAATTAAATTGAAAAATTTTTGCCCGCTCAACATTCTCAAAAGAAACAATCAAGCTGACTTGGAGCTTAGCTGTATTGAATTGGCTCACTAATTTTATAAATATTAAAGTTTACTATATTCATATGAATATGATGGTCAGGGTGGTGAAATTAACTCAAATTTTATTTTTTTGAAAAAAATTAAAGAGCTAGATCATCGAATAAAAATTTTCTTGATTTAAGTGAACGAAAGATCAAATATGTCAAGAATATCTTGATTGTCGCACACCGAGTTTTTTTAGGTCTAATATAATTAGCATATTTTTTGCACCTTCAATGCTCAATAGATTGCTTGTTCTTACAAAAATGCTCCTATTAGGAGATTTGAAACAAATAAAAAATGATTACATGTCATTATTTATTTCCAATTTGCCTTAGTTGGAATGTTTGATTTGTCGTCACCAATGCAATTACAAGATTGTTGTATATAATGTGTTATATTCAAATTGGAGGCCAGCCTAGCTCAAGTCATTTGTGACAACCCAACCTAATATGACTTATAAGCATAATATGTTATATTGTGTTGGCCCATAATTGAACAAGCCCAATATATAATTTAAAATATCTTTTCATATTTCTTTAATTATTAACATATAACATAGACACTATTTAACTTTCAATAAATAAAAAATACTCATTCATAAGTTTTCTTTCATTTATCTTCAAAATATATGTACAACAAAATCTCTACAATATGGTGCGTGGCTACTTATACGGGGTTCAATATTTGGCACGACTTGAAAATTCTGGTTTATGGTCAACCTGTTTGACAAACAGGTTGGGTTCAGGTTTTGAATTTTAACCCCTTTGAAAAATTTGGTTGGATTTGGGTCAAGGTCAACCTGCTAACCCAAAGTTGACCCAGATCTAACTCGATTCCCTACCTCAGCCTGTCCGTATAAGATAAAGTTTTGAACAAGTTGATAAAAGACGTCTTCGCCTCATTCAATGATGTTCCTTTGAATTTCAGACCTTCCTGTCGGTCTAAAGTCACGACAGGTGACATCTGGATGGATCAAAATCAGAAGATGGAAGTAATGACGACGACGCTTCTTCCATAGTTCCGTACTTCTATTTGCGTGCTTCTCGGCGTTCACGCATGGTCGCACCGAACAGTCAAAGACTTCTTTGCCTCCTTTGACGACGTTCATTATTCCGAAGGGTAACCTCCTTCAATGACGTTTCTTCGACTCCTTTGCCTCCTTCGACAATCGACGTTCTTTTGTTGGATCGAAAGTACCGACGATGATGAGACGGGAGTCAGCAGGGAGCTCGATCGTCTCTTTGAAAGGATTTTCGAGGAAAATTCCTGCTGCTTTGTTTTGCACTTCTACTTACTAACCCAATAATGTTTCTTCGCTGCCTTCAAATAACTATTTTTCCCATTCGTGCGTTGCTCGCACTGTGACATCGTGTTGGGTAAGGCTTGGGTTGAAATTTCTGACCTATTTGCAAAAAATGAGTCAGGTTCGATTCATGTCAAGTAGTAGTGGGTCAATATCATGTTAGACCCGAACCTAATCCACAACCCGACTTTGACACCCCTAGCTACACACGATGAAAAGACATAATAGAAAATATTCATCACTGTACAAAATTGATAAACTAGAAAAATATCCATATAAACTCAAATAATCAGATTCTACAATTCAACTACTCAACCAACTCCTTGCCGCGATCCACCAATGTAGTATGCATTATGTTGGTTTAGGTCGTGACAATCATTACTCTTTGCCAGCCATAAATTTAATGCTTATATCTTATTAGAAACATTCTAATAGTCCATTGCTAAAGTCAATATACGTTTTAAAATAGAGTTTTAGTATAAAAATAAATTTTTTTTACTAAAATTCTATTTTAAGTTGCAATAAAAAAGTCGTCTCAAATGAAGACCAAGTTAGTTTTAGTTTGATTTGATTTTTATTTGATAATCTATATACATTGATTTATTTGCTTTAGTTTATATTTGAAATTTTGAAAACTAAAAAAATCAAATCAAATTACTTAATCATAATATACATAATTATATATCAAATTCTTAATTTCTATTATCTAGCAATGATCTAATTAATATAAGTGGTATCACCTTTGATTTTTCTTTCTACGATCTCACAAATGCATTCATTATAACTTAATTTAGAATAAAATGGAAAACGAATAAATGATAAAAATTTTCTCTCATAAATTTGATCGCATTATATTGATTATATATATATTTTAAAAATTATATTATTATTATTATTATAATTAGTTTATTTTATTAATATTATGTTATCATTTAATTAATTAAAAATTTGCTAATTCTAAAATGAGAAGTTGGATCTGACTATGATCTTAGTATTACAAAATAATTGAAGGTTAATTTTAATTTCCTATCAATGAAATGTATAGAGGATTGCATGCATGCGATAAACTTTATAAGTTCTTATAAAAATAACATTTTCATGAAAAAATAAGCTCTTTATCAATACATTGTTTCATAGCATGATCAACATTATTTGAGAATTTGATGAAAGAAAAATTTATATATTAGATTTTTTATGAATTGCAATATTCATGTAATAATTTGAAAAATCAAATGTTATTTTTATAAATAAATAAATTTTAATTTACAAAGAAAATTATCTGTAAAATATTGAAAAACAACTATTTCGTTTTGCGTGCAAATAATCAAAAATCGTGAAATAAACACTTTTGTATGGCACGTGCGCACCGCCTAGCGCACGTGCTTACCCCAAACCCTAATCGTAGACACGTGTAGTCGTGAGCCAAAGATGTGATGACCCTCATCGCCTTTAGGGTTTGGCTTCTTAAACACTTCAAGCTGAATTACAATAATACCCTTTTAAATTAGTCAAATCGCCAGCTCAAGCCATTAGATGAAATAATGATGCCATCCGCCGGGGTAACTACGGACGAACGGTCTGTGATGAGATTTTGAGCCTGTGGGTCCTACCATGGGTAATTATGTAAATACAGATGTGCTCGTTGGTATAATGAAATGAAGGGTTGAAATATAATATATGAAATTTCATGGGTTTAGAAAAGACATGGAGATAATTATTTTTTTTTTCAGGGTGAAAAAAGTAAAATGGTTCACCCACGGCGGTCGCGAAGTTCGCCGTCCGGTGCGTCGTGGCCTCGTTATTGCCTATATAAACCAATCGACCCCCTCCCATCTTCTCATCCTTTCGTCTCTCTATCTCTCTCTCTCTCTCTGAAATCGCTCTGACTCTCTGGTCCGCATCTTTCGCCGAGGTAAGATTCCGCTTCTCGCATCGGAATCTAATTCCTATTTGGTTTATTATTTCCTCGTATTTTCCTCTCTTCTAGCGATCTAATAGTTCGATCGATACGAGAGGGACCGATCGAAGTGGGGACGCGCTAAGCATCTCTGATGAGCAGTCTGCACGGGAAAGGCTTCACGCCGGCGGTTTAATTTAGAGGGAAAAAGACGGATTCCGCGTCTAGGGTTTTAGATTTGAAGTCTGGAAGAGGAGCAGAACAAACCCTTTTTATTTCTTTTTGTTTTTGTTCTCATTTTGGCTCTCAATTCGCTATCTAATTGTTTTGTTATTTACGAATTGTTTTTCTGCATTGTGATTTGTGAAACTTTGTTTGGGCATCTAGAGGAAAAGAAGGGATTTCGATTATATGCGTCTATTAATGATAAATGGGGAGCCGTGGAAGACCAATATTATTCGACCTTAACGAGCCACCTACCGAGGAGGAGATCGACGAACTCGTTGCAGTTGCCCCCTGCGTGCCGCAGAAGTCCCTTCCTACTCTGAATCCACATACATCCAACCTTCTTCCTTCGCTTGAAGAGTGCCCCAGGATATTCAATAACAATGCTTTCACGCATGCTGCCTCTGGTTCGGGGTTCCAGCCATTTTTTAGGATTAAAGAACAACATAGGGAGTCTGCAAAACAGAAAGAAGATGATTCAGTAGTCACCAGCCAGGGACCTGCTCCTGCAGCTGCTGCAAGCAGATGTGAGGATGAGAAGGTCGTAGAGGTCACTGTGCCGAAGCATATGCAGCCTGTAGAGAAGGAGGAGGGTGAATGGTCTGATGTGGAAGGAAATGCAGATGTGGATGTAAATAGCGGGATTAAGGAGCAAGAAAAAGCTATCGAGAATGGTAATGGGCCGGATGCATCCATGTTGGATGTGAATAATGATTCACTTATCCCTAGTTCCAGCAATGATGGTGTAATGGATGCCAGTAAAGATACAAAAGGTTCAGATGATAGTTTTAAGGGGGATGCTCCTACGGATGTCCAAGAGGAACCTTCTGGGGCAGTAAAGAGAAAAGAGATTAGAGGGATTGAAGCTACTCATGCTTTGAGGCTTGCTAATCATAATCCTGCAAAGAAGGCTAAATATGATGAGGAGAAGGAGCAGAAGTTAGGGAAGTTAGGAAAGACAAAGCCAAAGACTATTCTTGTTGGTATGGAGGATGTGAAGAATTGTTCTATGAAAAACACGCCGCAGAGGAGGCAATCTTCCTTTGCAGCTGCTACTACTACTACGACTATTACTCGTACAGCAGTAAAGGAAATATCTCGGTCAAGTTCTGTAATAGAGCGAAGTACAGAGAGGTCTGGTGGAACCAAGGACCAGAAACAGCAGTCTGAGGCAAGATCAGAAGTAAGCAGCACTTTGGAGGTTAGTGAACATAAGACTGAACCAAATGGTGATGTAATTCCAGGGCCCCAAACACGTTCTAAAAAGATAAATAGTTGTGAAAGCTCTCATGAAATTAATCTAACGCCCAATTCAAGGTCCGGTTCATGGAAGCAGCCTATAGATTCCAGACAGTTTAAGACGACAGCAACTTCTTCAAAGAAACAAACTGTGACTGCTCTGGAAATTGCAGATGCAAAAGTGGGGAACAAAAGACCTCTACCCTCTAAGAAGCAGAATTTGAATAACCAGCAATACCATGACACGTCGGTTGAAAGGCTTCTGCGGGAGGTGACTAACGAACAATTTTGGCATCATCCAGGTTTGGGATAATCTTATTACATTTTCAAACTTTTAAGTGTATTTTCTTTCTCTTAATTAGTATTTTGTTACCTGAAATTATATGCATGCATTTCCCTTTTGGTGCATGGTCACCAGATTGGTTGAGTGACCAAATATCAAAGAGATGTTTACTTATAGGATTGGCTTGGATAATTAGATCTTTTAATTAATTTCTATATGGCAGGGTAGTGGGAGTGTCAATTCATTAAATTGCATATTTTAAAAATGCAGTTAAAGGATTTGGAAGCATTGGATTAATCTACATGAAAGAACAGTTATTGCACTCACATTTGGTGCCACATATTGCCAATAACCCCTTCATTGTAGCTGTTCAGTGTAATTTACACTATTAATATATCAATAGAGCGTGCTGTCAATTTGTATGATAGGCTTAGATGAATGATGTATCAATGAAGAAACTCTTGCTTTCTCCTTTAGCTGGAAAGGCATCATCTTGAAAGATTCTTCTTGATGTGATCATGATCATGGGAAAGAAGCTATTTGAAGGATGGTCATTGGAGTGAGAAAGTTTGGTGCATTCCTTGCATTAGCGTGCATTGAATTTGTATATTAGCTCTTCATGATTGATGTATCAATGAAGAAACTTTTGCATCCCCATTTAGATGGGTGATATTCATCTTTAAAGAATCTTGTTGATGTGATCATGATCATGAAAAGAAGTTTTCTGAGAGGTATCCATTGGACTTGTAAATTCTACTCTCTCCCAACCACTCACCATCACCACCACTTCATCCCTTCTCTTCCATGATGTGTTTGCATGTGTGTAGATGCGGGTTCATGCAGTTTTTCATCTTCAACTCATCAGTTCAAAAGTAGGACATAGTGCGATGCAGCTAGGTAGCTTTACAGTTTAAGTTAACAAGGTTTTTCATTTCAATACTTAATTGCAGGAACCTCACATAATTTATTTGAAGGACATAAAATTTTTAATTTCGATTCATACCTTTTGTTCTATACATTTTCCATCAATTCAGTTAGTTGGATTTGAGATTCAACGAGGTATTCTTTTGAAAATTTACTCTAATATACTTTAGTCATGAGAAAATTTCTTTTCTAATTTCTTTCCACCACCTTAAATTTTGTTTTTTTATCTAGATGTTTTCCCTTAAGTTTTGCTTAATGATACAAGTTTTCTTGTCTAGCTTTAAATCTTTGTTTTCCTTTAGTACTTAAGACTTACATCAATTTTCTCTTTATTTAGAGGAGTCAGAACTTCAATGTGTTCCTGGAAGCTTTGAATCCGTCGAGGAGTATGTTAAAGTCTTTGAACCTTTACTCTTTGAGGAATGTAGAGCGCAATTGTATAGCACATGGGAGGAATCAACAGAGACAGTGTCAAGGGATGCACATGTCATGGTTCGTGTGAAAATGGTGGAAAGACGGGAAAGAGGTATATGCTGTTTTTTCTTTTTGTTATGCATGGGTTGAAACTTTCACTTATTGTAAGAAGTTTAGTAATTCTAGTTTCAAAATTGTTCAAATGCATGTATAAGGATTTTGAAAACTTATACATGTGGGAATTTTTATTCAGACTGAATTTAATTTGGTTATTGATTGTGTGCTAATGCTATTGTCCATCTTATTTGCTAATTCTTAGATGCTATTCATGGTTTCGGTGTTCTGAGCTTTTTCAGATATTTAGTAAATAGAATTGTCTCCTATTGTAACGTCCATATACTATGTCTAGTATATAGTTTTTATCAAACGTGTTACAGTCCTTTTAGATCTCATTTGTTATGGAGTGCTTGGCTTAAAAGTAGATTAATAAAACATCTCTTGTTATTTTGATTTTATTAGTGGTGCCTCACTTCTTCAGCATGATCTCTAATATCCTTTGTTTCTTAGCTGGATAGTTTTCCACAATTTCTATTGTATTTTGGAATATTGTCTCACCATTGCTTAATGAATTTTTTTATATCCTTTTTTTTTCCTGGCCAACTCAGACGCTAGAAGTTAGCCCCATCTATTTCCACCTCTTAATTAGCATCTTTTTGGCATCCAAATTTCCATAAACATTAAAAGAACGAAATCATCTTGGTAGAGTAGTTGTGAGCACGTCATTTGGTTGAAAAGCTAAAAAAAATTTGAGAGAATGAGCCCCAAATTTTAAAAAGGTGTGCTTGATTAACCGTAAGTAATTAACATTCTAAGTATGCAACTTTGTCATCTTGAACAACTAGCTTAAGAAATTGTTGCATGCCATGTTGCTGATAACTTATGGGTAACTAGTTATGTTCTTAGGAAATTTTAAAAGAAATAAGATGAAATTAGAAATTAGATTTATCGAGTTAGATGCTATGATGTATTGACATTCCATGTTAAAGGGGGTATACAATGTCGGACACGCAGTCATTGTCATGTGCCTGACGTGTGTTGGACATGGCTATCACGCATCTTATTAAAATAATTATAATAAGAAAAGAGGCGACTTAAAAACCTAATCAAAATTTTATAAGAAAACTCGCTTATCTCTTTTTCTCTTTCATCTCAAACACTTTTCTTACAAATCTTCTCTCTTAACATTTTCTTTTCTCACATGTTTGGCTAGGATTTGGGTTGATATTGCCGGATCTATGAATTCAGCCACTGGCTTCCAATGCTGAACTCTCACAAGCTCGTCTCCCAACTTCCTCTATCCTTTTGATGTCAAAGATGACACCAAAACCTATTGAGACGATGAGTAACATCCTCTCCTCTTGATATTGAAACCCTATGTTCTCCGAATAAACATTAAGTAATAAAAAGGGTATGAAGCCCTTAAAAAAATAATATTTCACTATAACTCTATAAATTTATTATAAAATGAAATATCATTAATAAAAAATTTTCAAATAAAATACAGTTTTAATTTTCATGCTATGATTTTGTCTGTCAGTCGTCCAAGTTGGGCTATTTAATATTTTGTATATATTTTGTGTATTGTGCAATACTACAAGAACAACAACAAGTATTTATCCCACTACTTGGACTTGGCTACATTAATATTTTTTTCTCTATTGTGTCATATAAGAGTCAAATTCTCATTTAAATCTAATAAATAAAGGTCATTTGTAATATTTTCAAACCAAGTCTTTTTAGGTCTACCTCTACCTTTCTCAACAGAAGCCAAATCTAATGCATGGTCATCGTCGTCGTTTTATATGACCAAGCCATCTAAGTTGACTCTCTCTAATCTTATCTTTCACTGGAGCTACTTGAACCTTTTCACGTATATGCTCGTTTCGTATCCTATCTTTAAGAGTAAAGCCACTCATCCGCATGAGCATCCTCATCTCTGCAACACTTAACTTAATATTATGATTAAGTGTTGTGGACATGAGGATGCTCAGGTGGATGACTGACTTTACTCTTAGAAAAATGATACGAAATGAGCATATACATGAAAAGGTTGGAGTGGGATATAGACAATGTGTAATAAAAATAATGGGCATTATTATAACATAATAAATTTAATTTTCTTATTTCATTTAATTTGTATACATTATTTTTTATTTTTAAATTTTAAAAATTACAATTTCGTGTCCAATGCTTGTCCGTGTCTTATATTTTCAATAATAGATGAGTCCTATGTTTGTGTCATGTTTGTGTCCGTGCATCCTAGGTTAGATGCAATTTTTGCAATTGCAAATATTCAATTATCCAGCAATAATTCTTGTCAAAAGAGATGATCTTTTGCTTCTCCATTGACATCATGGATTCAATATATGATTATATTCAACAATTTTTTGTAGCAATATGATATTAACTGAGTTAGATGTAATATTTATAATTGTGAATATTCAGTTCATCTTGCAAGAATTATTGTCAAAAGAGATGGTGATCTTTTGTTGCTTCAGAGTCGAGTATGTTATATGGTATGGATTGAAATACGTAATTAGTGATTTTTTGTAATAATTTAAGCCCCATTTAGGCATAGGAACTAACTTGGAATGCCTAGTGGCACAATTTTACGAAGCCAAATCATGCAAATTATATAGTAGTTTGTTATATAATTTATATGATAGAATGTGTCCGATCTCTAGTTTGAGCACCAAATTTGTACCATTATGCAAGTAACTGTATGAGTCCATCACGTGGTATGAAAGTTCATTGTGTATTGCTTTTTATATAACTCATGGTTTTAATGAATTGTTTGAAGATACTTTTCATCAGCTAGAATCGATTTGTTTAAATCAAAGAGTGATTGTGGAATCTTATTAAACATATAAATTCTGCACTTTTCTAAAAAGAAAAAAAAAAGAAGCAAACTCAACATTTGCCCTCTACAAAGTCATGAATTTGAGAATTTTATGTTTAGGTTGATTCCAATGGCCAATTTGGATAATGCGAGGGTACTTTACTTGCACAATGCAGGCGATCAATAAGTTAATGATGCATGTCCCTGTATTTTAATGGTGGGAACGTGCATATATTTGTTAGGAGGTGGCAAACCATGTAGAAGAAATGGGAAAAGATTTAGGCGAGCAAATTGTAATTACTTTTTTTTTTTTTTTTTTAAATCTAAACACTTAGCTAACATATAAGAACCTACAGTTATTGAGCAGTCTATGGGTTGATTCTCTGTAGCATGTAGCACCTCCACTGGCAAAGCAATCACAAACGTGTTGATTTGTCCCTTATCCCCTTAATCTAGTAAAAGAAAAATGGTTGAGAACTAGTTTTTTTACCTGTTAAATTAAAAAAAAAAAATAAAAGCACACAATATTTTTATCCTTATTGACTGATTTTTTCCTCATCTGACTTATCTAACATGATTGTTTCGTGGTGTTCTATTACGCATTGTTTCAATTGTTTATTTGGCTAGTTGCAGGAATTGTATCTTGAGTCTCTAAGCTTAAATGGACTGTGATTTGGTGCTTTGGCTGATAATGTAATGGCTAAAGCTTTAAACTCTATTAGATCATCATATTAATGTAGTACAGAATTGAAAAATCTAGGAAAAGTAATTTTTGTAGGCGTTAAGTTTCTAGTGAATATAGAAGAAGATCAAATGGCGCTTCTTCTTGCCTATTGACTAAAAATTTACATGATTGCATCCTCTTAATCCATTTACAAAGTTCTTTTTATGGCTTAGTTGCTGATAACTACATGAGGAGGAAACTGTCAGTATTATACTGGTCACTGGTCAGTGTGATACTTTATCATGGATGGTGATTATCCTCTTACTTTGGTACATATGCTGCTCTCTGTACTGGACCCTTTTGCAGAGCAATTATATTTGTTCTTGGATTGATACCAATCTTCTGCAGTATACTCAGCACCCCCTTGAAAGGTGATATACCTGTTTTGTGCAGGTCAAGCTAGCCTATGATTTTGCGGAAAGTATGTGTTCTTCAAAGGAACAATACTACCACTTCAATGGCTTGCTGAGTTTTCTTTCCTTAATCTTGACCTGGTAATTCAATTACTTTTTGACGATTTGATTACCCAATCTTTTCCAATAAGGCTGGTTAATGAGTGTTTTCAAGATAACTTAATTTTACAAAACTTTCTATGAAAGCTAGACACAGTCCCTCAGTTTTTCATTTCTAATTATAGTTGAAATCTTAATAATTCATTGCTGTTATCTTTTATGTTGGTTTGAGCCTTTTAAAGCTATGATATTTGGTGATGTGATGTTTCTTTAGATAAATGATTGAGAATGCTTATACGTTGATGCATTTGCCATTAATGTCTTTGAACCCTTTTACATTTAGGTTGGTATGATATCATTGTTCTTCCGGTTCATGAATGCAAGTGGAACTTTAAGGAGGGGGATGTTGCAGTCCTTTCTGCCCCGAGACCTGGTTCAGGTTTTAATCAGATCTTTGCATGTTATTTCCATTTACTAAGTATCAGCAGATAGGCTTGTATTTTGTTGCTTTTGTTTCTTGGTTTGACAATTCTCTTGTATCACATATGTCAGCATTGAGATCTAATAAGAAGATTATGAATTCTACGGCAAATGAGGATGATGGTGAATTTGAGGTGACTGGAAGGGTTGCAGGTACTGTCAGGAGGCATATTTCTACTGACACACGAGATCCCCCAGGAGCAATTCTTCATTTTCATGTTGGGGATTCATATGATTCTAGCGGGTAATATCTTCTTTAAAATCATATTTTCTCTTTAGGTGTAATCCAGTTGCTCCTCGTAGCATTATTCTACTTTTTTTTTTTTTTAATAAGAAGGTTATTTTGGGATATGTTAGTTGATTTGATTATGGAGCATTGAATCATTCTTCTGTATTTGTGTGCTGGAGGTGCGATTGTTAGGGGTTTCTAGGCTATTTGTTTGTTATAATGCACTTAATGAACTTGGGAGGGTATCAATTTATTATCACTGCAGCTTAGCAGGACAAATACAATTCCCATAGCACTTTTCCTTGTTATCCATATCGTATTATTCATTTATTGTGTGGTTCTTTTCTTTGTTAGTGGGGATTGATTGTCATGAATGGCTAGGGTTGGACTTTTCCTTTTCTAAATTTGTTTCTTTTTTTGCATTACAGCAAGGTGGAAGATGATAATCTTCTGAGGAAGCTTCTGCCCAAGAGTATTTGGTACCTTACTGTGCTAGGTTCGCTTGCAACTACTCAGAGAGAATACATTGCTCTCCATGCGTTTCGACGCCTTAACCAGCAGGTGAGGGACTAGATCTTTATTAGAACTAAGTTCCTTTGAAAATTGTCTTTAAATTATCTAAAGCCCTAATTGACAAAGCAGATGCAAACTGCAATTCTCAAGCCAAGTCCAGAGTACTTTCCCAAGTATGAAGAACAGACTCCTTCCCTGCCTGAATGTTTTACACAAAGTTTTGTGGATCATCTTCATAGAACGTTTAATGGTCCACAATTAGCAGCTATTCAGTGGGCTGCAATGCATACTGCTGCAGGTACAAGCAATGGATCCACTAGGAGGCAAGAACCTTGGCCTTTCACACTTGTTCAAGGGCCTCCAGGTACAGGTAAAACGCACACAGTCTGGGGCATGCTAAATGTGATACATCTAGTGCAGTTCCAGCATTATTATACCGCTTTGCTCAAGAAACTCGCCCCAGAGAGCTACAAGCAGCTGAGTGAGTCCACCTCTGAGTGTATTAGTAGTACTGGATCAATAGATGAAGTTTTGCAGAGCATGGATCAGAATCTGTTACGTACTCTTCCAAAACTTTGCCCTAAGCCCAGGATGCTTGTGTGCGCTCCATCAAATGCTGCGACAGATGAGCTCTTATCACGTGTTCTTGATCGTGGCTTCATTGACGGAGAAATGAAGGTCTATCGTCCGGATGTTGCCAGGGTTGGAGTTGATTCTCAAACAAGAGCAGCTCAGGCGGTTTCTGTTGAGCGAAGAACGGAACAGCTACTAATGAAGGGCCGTGAGGAGATTCATGGATGGATACATCAATTAAGAGCTCGTGAGTCCCAATTCTCACAGCAAATATCTCTTCTTCAGAGGGAGCTCAGCACGACAGCTGCAGTCGGACGGTCTCAAGGATCTGTCGGTGTCGATCCCGATGTTCTGGCTGGTCTGGATCATAATCGAGACATGTTGCTGCAAAATCTAGCTGCAGCTGTTGAAGGAAGAGATAAAGTTTTGGTAGAGCTTTCACGTTTTTTTATTTTAGAAAGCAGGTTCCGTCCTGGGAGTTCCTTTAATCTTGAGGATGCTCGGGCTTGTCTTGAAGCAAGTTTTGCTAATGAAGCTGAAATTGTCTTCACAACTGTTTCTAGTAGTGGCAGGAAGCTGTTCTCTCGCCTCACCCATGGTTTTGATATGGTTGTGATTGATGAGGCAGCCCAAGCCAGTGAAGTGGCTATTCTTCCTCCTCTATCACTTGGTGCTGCTAGGTGTGTCCTTGTTGGAGACCCTCAGCAACTTCCTGCGACCGTTATCAGTAAGGCTGCTGGAACACTTCTGTACAGCAGAAGCCTTTTTGAGAGGTTTCAACAAGCTGGTTGTCCTACAATGCTATTATCAGTACAGTACAGAATGCACCCACAAATTCGTGAATTCCCATCGAGGCACTTCTACCAGGGGCGCTTAACCGATAGCGAGAGTGTTTCAGGCTTACCCGATGAGACCTACTATAGAGACCCTCTAATGCAGCCTTATATTTTTTATGATATAATGCATGGGCGAGAGTCCCACCGAGGTGGCTCCGTGTCCTTTCAGAATTTAATGGAGGCACAATTCTCCTTGCGCTTATATGAAAACCTTCAAAAACTTATAAAAGCTGATGGTGGGAAGAAAGTCACAGTTGGAATAATCACGCCCTACAAGCTTCAGCTAAAATGCCTCCAACGGGAATTTGAGGAAGTTTTGAACTCTGAAGAAGGTAAAGATATCTACATCAACACAGTTGATGCTTTCCAGGGCCAGGAGAGGGATGTTATAATCATGTCTTGTGTTCGCGCTTCAAACCATGGTGTCGGATTTGTAGCCGATATTCGCCGCATGAATGTCGCACTCACTCGAGCAAGAAGGGCATTATGGGTAAGAGTCTTTTTTTCATTTTATTTTTTCTGATCAGATCTGGTAGCACAGAAGTTGTAAATCTTGCTTGAGACTTATTTTCCTGTATTTTTTTTCCTGGTTCAGGTTGTGGGCAATGCCAATGCTCTCATGCAATCTGATGATTGGGCAGCCCTGATTAACGATGCTAAGACAAGGAATTGTTTCAAGGACATAAGTAGCATTCCAAAAGAATTTATGGGAATCAAAGGGCCTTCATATGCTGCAGGAAAAGTATCCTCAAATAACCTGCGGAGCTTCAGAAGCTCTGGGCACAGACAGAGACACATTGAGATGATCCCCGACAACAGGTCTGGCACACCATCTGAAGATGAAGAGAAGCCAGCCTCTTTCACACCAAGAAATGGAAGTTACAGAAGCCTGAAATCAGTTGAGAATTCTATAGATGAGATAGGCCATTCCGGTGATAGGTCTAGAGATTATGTTGCCACAAAGAGGCAGAGCAGCTTGGGAGGAGGTTTCAGAAGGGATCCATAGTCGACGAGATGAAGGCAAGGTGGTTTTTCTCGTTAATCTCTGACTTATGAAGTATGTTGGACCAGCTTGAAAATCAAATCAGAAATGAAACAGGCCTACCAGATTGTTGCTGGTCATGTCAGACTCTATGGAGACATGGCCGCAACAGGTGCTTGTCTCGGGTACTTTATTAACTGGAAGGAAACCTTTCTGGTCCTAAATAAGCCATGAAAGGAGAATCAGGGCTTTGGCCCTGTTGGAGAGAGGCTGGCGGAGGATATTTGGTTGCAAAGTTTGTGCATATAATGGAAATTACTTCATCCTGCTAGTTCATCAAATTCACTCTATGTAGTCCAGTGTTGATAACTCATTGTTAGACTTAGAAATGGAATTAATATGTGACATAGAAGACGAATTATCTAAAAATGGAATTAACCTGGAAGATGTATAGTGTTTTGGGGATATTTGATTCATGCATGTGGTCTTGTAAAATAGAGAAACATGAAGATGAATATTTAAATTCTTTATTTTACCTCTGGTGTGTATCTTCAATGAATACAACTTATTATTATTTTTTTCCTCTTTCAGAATCGAAGTGTTTTTGTTTGTTCTTAACACTGCTTGGTTAGTAGGGGTGTCAATATTGGACACGATCCGAAAATTCAACCTGAACACGATAACGAAATTTTGGGTTAGAGTTTTCGACCCGTTTAAAAAATCGGGTGGTTCGGGTTGACCCGAAAATTTGAAGATGACATGGATTGACCCGTTGACCGACCCTGACCATAGCTACCTGCGTCCGCATCGGTCTTACCGCCAAGCTGCCCTGCTGACCTGCCTACCCCTACTGTCGAATGACTCGCGTCGCACCACTACAGTGTTCGGAGCACGAACTGTCCAGTGTCTAAAATGCGGAACCGAAACGGATGGTGGATTTATAGGATTTGGCTTAGTAACCACGAATGGACGGTTGATTTTTAGGATTTGGCTTAGTAAGCGCACGAACAAAAGATGGATTTACGGGATTTGGCTGAGTAAGAGCGCGAACGGAAGAAATTTTTTATGTCAACTCGATTGAAATCGGGTTGTGTTGGGTTGACCTGAACTCGAAGCGGGTCGGGTTCGGGTCCGAAAAACCGACCCGTTTGCAAAACTGGGTCGGGTTCAGGTTGACCTGAGTAATACCGGCGCTCCAGGGTTGACCCGAACACGATCTGTGACCCGAAATTGACACCCCTATTGGTTAGGTTGTTTTTAGCTGACTTAGGTGTGTGTTTAAATATGATGTTAACAAGTTTACGGTTTATTATATATCCAAAGAGACTGATGAAAATGTTTTTTTAGGGATTTCTTTCATTTTAGCACTAGTTTAGTTAATATTCATTGTGTTATATTCCTTTTATGCCCCCCCCCCCCCCCCCCCCCCCCCACACACACACACACACATAAATACAGTGGTGTCAATATTTGACACGATTTGAAAATTCAACACGAATCCAACCCGAAAATTACAGGTTATGGTCAACTCGGACTTGAAACGGGTTGGATTTGGGTTCAACAAATCAATCTGTTTTAAAAATAGGGTTGGGTTCATGTTGATCCAGAAACTCCAAAATTGACCCGTTTTGATTCGAAAATCAAAGGTTGACTTGTTTTTTTCACCTGAAAATTAGCAATTTTTGTCGGCCTCGGTCATTCGGGTCGTGTCGGGTTGATCCGGTCTCAAAGCAGGTCGAGTTCAGGTTAAAAAAATCGGATCCGTTTGCAAAAATGAATTGAATTTGGGTTGATTTGAATATTATCGGGTCAATTCCATATTCGACCTAAACCTGATCCATTATCCAAAATTGTCACCCCTACACACACAAAAACGAGGCAAAAGCTGATGAATATTTTATTGTTCTGAAAGCTAAAGGCCCCCTCCTTATCTATATTCGTTTTTTTTTTTTTAATGAATGGAAGATGCCTTGTAGGTTTCTCCAAGTATCAATCAGTTAGGAAAGATGCAGGATGCAGCAACCCTCATTTTCAGTTTTTTTATTTTTTTGGTTTTTATAGCAAGGCAATTGCAATGCAAATATTCACCAAACTCTTTATTTTTATCGGAGATGAAGCTGAAATTCAATGTGGTTCGAAGGAGTCAAAACCAGGCCAGGCTTATTTAGGCATTGGGACTGATGCAGAATTTTAAAAAATTGGTTACTATTCTGTTGGTAAAAAATAGTTTCTATCATAATTTTTTTTGAAAAATAATAAAAAATAGCAAAAAAACCAATGACCAAATTAAATAGTGGTTATTGTGTGAAAAGTAAAACAACGAGAAAGCTTTTCATACAAACCCTTGATTTGTAATAATTTAATGTCTAATATTTTTAAGGGAAATCTACATACATATTATATTATTTTATTATTTTTATGTATCTGCCATGTATATTGTGATTTAGGTTTTCTTTGGGACGACTTTTTTTATTGCTTTTTGAAGTAATTTTTTGGTATAAAAATTTAATTTTTATATCAAAAAGTTGCTTCAAGAAGCAACAAAAAAGCCATCCCAAATGAAGCCCTAGAATTTGTTTAGAACGTTTGCAGCTTTTTATAAAAGTGGGCTTTAGGCTTTGTTTGGGACGGCTTTTTTATTCCTTTCTAAAATGGAGTTTTAGTAAAATTTTTTTTATTTTTGTACTAAAACTCCGTTTTAAAAAACAATAAAAAAGCCGTCTCAAACGAAGCCTTAAAGTTAATGTTGGGAAAGTAACTTTTTTGAAAGCTCCTATAAAAAGCAGTTTACTAGCACATAAATTTTTTGGGAGCAATGAGAATACAATAGCTAAATAAAATTATGACTATGATATGAGAAAAATAAAGTAGTAAGCAAGTTGTTGCAAACATACCAAACATATATATATATATATGATGTTTTTATGTAATTTTAAATTTTAGTGCTATGTAAATAAACATCAAAATTTAGATGTTAGAAATATAAATTACTAAAAAATGTGTTGTTTGCATGTAAATCTCTCCATTTTTAATTAATAACTTAGAGCTCTATATCTCAATCTAGATCATGAAAATTAATGTGGCATCCAATTTACAGAGGAACATTAGAAGCCATTTATTTTTAATCATGCTTGATTAATGATCAAATGTTCTTAAACAGTGATTAAGTTAGATATCCAAATTATTCTTAACTTTAAAAATTTTTCATATAAGAAGTAATAGAATATTCAAAATATATCAATATTGAATCCAATTGATTTCTAGTGAATTAAATAGTTTTCAAATCAATTCACAATTATTGAATGAGTTGGTTTGTCACATAGCAAAACTATTTGCTTTTATTAAATCATACGGTTTTTGGTTAAGTAATGTCTTAAGTTGTTGATCAGCATATGTAAGTGAATAAATGCTGAGCGCATTGAGAATTATTTATTTTGTTTCAACTGCCTATTTACAGCACCAAAGACATTTCTTACCTTTTTTCTTATCAAGCAATGAAATAGGCATAAATATATCATTGTTACGTGGTAAAAATTTTGAGTTAGTAGAGTATATATTTTACATCTCAGCATTGTAAAAAAATTCAACACGCACAAATAAAAGTATAGTAAGAAAAGAAAATTTTAATGTGGAAAGTCATGCCAAGTAAAAAACTATGGGGTCTAGCCTAATTGAAAATTCCACTATGTAGTAAACGATATAAAAATCATCTTTTTTGTTTTACTATTGAAGAAAGAGAGGGTTTAAATTGACGTATGATTTTTTCTTAGGGAGAATATGGAAATTAAATGTTTATAGAGGGACAATTAACACCCAACAACAAGATTTAATTTATCTAATAAATAGTATAAAAACCAAGTGTACACAGGCAGAATACTATACCCAACAGCAGGAGGGTTAAATCTTCTTAATATTTGGAGTTGGTGGCGATTTCTGATACTTATCGTCCATGGGGATGATGGTTGTCAACAACAATAGTTGGTGGTGTTCGTCGGCGGCGATGATTTGAAAATGTAAGAGACCTATCTCTATTCTTACTCTTCCTTTGAAGAATGAGGCTCTATTTATAGGCTCTTTTTTTATTTGAACTAAAATCCAAAGCACTCCAACGTACGGCCGATATTGATTCCTTTATCTTTAAGCTTTTATATATTCAGCATTTAAGTGCCTTAATGATATCATAATGAAGTGCTCTTAGGCTCATTGGATATGTCTCGTCAAGCCTCTTGATTTGACTATAAGCATGTCTAATTTGGATATCATTTTGTCATTCAATTAATATTTGAAGTTTCTAATTATATTTCAAATGCTTGATTTGGCTCTTTTAGGTTCGGATTTGATCACTTTTGATATCATTGGGTTTGTCTCACTGAGACATTCAAACCAACAATAAGTTTGCTAAACTTGAAGTTCATATGATCTTGAATTTAATTCTAGCAATTTATAATTTAAATTTTTGCATTCAGATTTATGCTGATCATACTGATCTTTTGTAGATCATAATATATTTTACATCAGGATGAGCTTGAAAGCTCTGAAATTTATACCAAGATTATCACTATTTCAATAGAAATATAAAGTCTTTCAAGTCTACTCTGAATCAAAAAAATGTTAGAATATCTTTACCCAATTATTTTTCTTTTGAAGAAAAAAGAATTTAATAGGGAAATCAATTTTACTTCAACTTTACCTTGAATCATGCAAAAAGTCAAAAAAAAAAAAAAAAAAAATCATGCAAAAAGTTTATATTGCATGCAAATATTTTATTTTATCCAATTTCACCAACCTGCAGTTCTGCTAAAATTATAATATATGAATAAAAAATATAGCTTGGAAGGCACTGATTTGTTGAACTAAAGTGGCTGCTGGTTGATGTCTTGGTTGATGGCTATTAATTCATGTTTACAGTTATTGGATCAACCTGTACTAGAAAATTGCTTTAAGAAGCAAGAAGAAAGTTGTCCCAGACGAAGCCTAAAACAATCAATTTAGGCTTTGTTTCGAACAACTTTCTTATTGCATTTTAAAGTTGTTTTCTAGTACATAAATTTTGTACTAAAAAACTGGTTTAGAAAATAATAAGAAAGTTGTCCCAAATAAATAATTAATTTGTGAGTAACTTTTAGAAGTTACCACATTGTTTTAAAAATATAAAAATAATTTCATCAAAATAAATTAAATATACTCAACAATTTGAATTTATCATTAACAAAATGCCAATGATATATATTATTTACCCATATAAGATTTGTCATAGTTGTTAGTTGTTCCAAAAACAAGCAATAAAGGGTGCCTAATATTTGACTAATTATATACAAAATGAAGCTGATAAATGTACTTCTCTTCCTTTCAGAACTCATAGAAGCTGTGCCTTTGAGGTATGGTTTCATCAATGGAACTCCTTCCTCCTGAACTGGAGTGGCCCTTCCTGTAACAGCCACTGTTGCTAACCTCCACCTGAGTTTTGAACACTGCACATACCGGCCGGTGGTCGGAGAACCGCGACTCTCCTCTGTTATATTGTAGTTGCTCAATACCATCTCCAGACCATAATATACGATCACACCTACAAGAAGAGCATAAAATTTCTGCTTTTTAAAGCAGCTTTCTAGTACAACAATTTCTTGAAAGCAACAAAAAAGTAGCGATCAAAAGCTATCCCAAACGAAGCCTTAATAGTTTAGAGTGTACCATGCCGGGGTTCGACGGTTCTTCTTGGACTTTACTGTCTCTCCAGCATATTCATCAGAGTTGTGAGAGTACTTGTAAGTTGGTGCAAAATAGATCTTTCCCTCTTTCCAGCCATGAAATACTCTTCCTGCTTCCTTCTCCATATTTAGCTGAGTAAATGTTTAAGACATTTAGATTTGAAAGAGGGTGATTGTTCAATGATTTTATTGAGGCTATGATTCATTTACCTGATCCTTCTCTAGTAAAGCATCCCAATCATTATCATCTAGCAATGTTCTTGTGTCCTCATAGCTCAAAGCAACTCGATAATTCAAATCACCAAGCCAAAATGCTCGACTGTAGAAAAGAAGATTTTTTTTTTGAAGATTTGAAGAGAATATGTTGATGTGAAAGAAATGAAATGGGCAACCGTTGACTTCAGATATATATTCCTACCATTTTGATTTTCTTTAACTTCAAGTTTGATATATCATCAAAAAAGTTATCTTGATCAGGCACAAATCTCGAGGCAAAATCAAGAGGGAAACTTCAGAAATTAAACTTGGGACCATATGAACTCCGATTTCAAGAAACTTATAGTCTGACTGAATGTCTCGAAAAGACGAACCCAATGACACAAAATTCAACCCAATCCGAGCCCAAATGGGTTCAAATCAAAGACCCAAACCACCTTTGGAAGGTTTAAACCATAAATTGGATGACCAAACGGTTTCTAAATGTACCATGATTATAATCGAATTGAGCTGCTCAGCGAGACAAATCTAACGAGCCCAAGATTGTTGAATTCTAACATCATTAAGACATTCAAATGCCATGTAAAAGATCCACAATCAAGGAGATCAATATCGGCCGTCCATTCAAACCACTTAAGCAAGGAGGGAAGCAATGAAGAGAAAGAAGAGAAGGAATAGAGAGAAACTAAAGTTCTCTTGTCAACTGTAAAGGACATTTTTCTCCCAGGAACGTCCGGGACGAAATTGGATCGTCCCGGGACGATCGGTACAGGTTGTGCGGGAAATGTTTCTGACTGCATGGTTCGTCTGGACGAAATTTGGATCGTCTGGACGAAAATTTTACAGAGCCAAATCGTCCAGGGACATTAATTAATCTCGTCTGGACGAAATTCGTCCAGAGCCGAATCGTCCCGGGACAAAGTTTCGATTGTCCGGGACGATCCGTCTGGATATACATAGAAATGAGATATTTTGAAGAGAGAGAAAATCCCAGAAGAGAGAAAATCAAAGGAAAAGAAAGGAAAAGTGATTTTTGGGCGACTCCGGCCTGTTTTCGTCCGTTGCTGTAGTTAAAGAAGTTGACCGACTCGAGGTAAGACACATTCCGCCTTTCTCAATTTTCAGAAACGAGGATTTTGACAAGTTTTCTGTTTTGAATTTTGTTTCCGTTAGCGAATTTTGGGTATTATTTTCTTTTGACAAAGGTTTTACCGCGTAACTTTTGGTATGTCTTTGAGATGATAATTATGCACGTTTTGTGTTATGTGACTTATCTGATTTGTTTTATGAATCATCTGATATATGTACGATTCGGGTTATTCCGTACGATTCTGTCTGCTATGTGACTTAAAAACTTTATGATATCTGTACTGAACGCCGATTCGACATGACTTCGTTTTCTGTATTTGTTGTGATTTATGATTGAATAAGCATCTGTTCTATGATTTTCGTACGGCTTTTCTGATGTGCGTTTCTAACAATTTTGATTGGTGATTGATGTCTTGCTGAGCTGTTAGCTCATTCTTGTTTTCTACGTGGTTTTCAGGTTCTGGGAAAGGGAAGGAAGTCATGGATTAGCGGTCCAGAGTCTGATCTGTGATTAGGTACTTGATACTTTTGATTTTTGTACAGTCATGACTTTTCTGTTATGTTCTGTTCTTTCTGTTCATAAGCCATGTACTGTATCTGTATATGATTATTTTGGTGAAAGAAAAGATAGATGAACTGCACTGCATTTGGATATTTTTAGTAGCTTTGTGTTTTTCTGTCTGTGTTATATTTGGAAGAATGTTTTGAAGTAAGTTTCAAAGCCAGATCCTGAATTTGTTGGCTTTGTCGCGGCCCGATGCGAGCGGGATCCGTCCCGATCGGGTTGGGTCGTGACATCAACAGACTCCTCCTCGACCACCGTTGGATCACTAACCGTCGCCAGACTTTTTCCCAGCCACCGACCAATGTCGGACTTACCCCCGGACACTGACTAACGTTGGACTTCCACCTAGCCGCCAACTACGGTCTTCCTAACCTCTGTCTTCTGCCGAGTATTGTCATTCTGACCTCCGTCGCTTGACAATAGTCTTTCTGATCTTAGTTGTTTGCCTACTATGGTCCTTTTGACCTCTATCGTCAGACAACTATCTTTTGACCTCTGTCCCCCGCCTACTATGGCCCTTACAACCTCTGTCGTTGGACTACGGTCTTTCTGACCACAGTCGTTCACCAATTACAATCCTTCCGACCTCCATCGTCAGACAATGGTCTTTCTAACCTCTGTTGCCCGCTGACTACTGTCCTTCCGACCTCCATTGTTTGAAAACGATCTTTCCAACCTCTGTCACCCACCAATTACAATCCTTTCGACCTCCGTTGCCAGACTACTTCTTTTTGACCTCTATCGTCAGACAACAGTCTTTTTGACCACTGTCGCCTGCCAATCATAGTCCTTTCAACCTTCGTTGTCAGATTACAGCCCTTCAACCTCCGTCACCAGACAATGGTCTTTCTGACCACTATCGCTCGCCGACTAAAGTTCTTCTGACATCCGTCGTCTGATAACTATCTTTCTGTCCTTCATCGAATGTTGACTACTGTCATTCCTACCTCCATTGCAAGATTACGGTCCTTCTTACCTCCATCGTCATACAACGGTCTTTTCGACCTCCATCACTCACCGACTACAGTCATTTTGATCTCCATCGCTAGGTAAAGGTCTATCTGACCATTGTCGCAAACCATCTAAAGTCGATCCTTCCGACCTTCGTCGCCTGATAACATTCTTTTTGACCTTCGTTAAATGTCGACTACGGTCCTTTCGACCTCCGTCGCCAGAATACGGCCCTTCCGACCTCCGTCGCCAGAATACGGCCCTTCCAACCTCCGTCGCCAGACTATAGTTTTTCCGACCTCTATCATCTGCCGACTATGATCCTTTCGACCTCCGTCGCCATACTATGGTCTTTTCAACCTCTGTCACCCGCCGACTACCATCCTTCCGACCTCCATAGTCAGACTATGATCTTTCCGACCTCCGTCGCCTGCTGATTATGATCTTGCTAACCAAACGAACATGTCAATACTAATTCTTCCAATTCCCACCATATGATGAATTTTATATGATGTATATTTGCTACATTACGTCTAGGCCTTCTCCTCAAGGAAGGGCCTCATTTGTAATAAACGGCAAACACTAGTGGATTCATTCAAATTAGGCCAGACCCCCTGGTTTTTCTCCATTTTCAGGGGTTTCCACGTAAAAACTCTGGTGTCTCTTATGAATGCTATACCCTCCCTTTTATTTGATTGTTTGCTGGATCTTCATACAAAACTAGGGCGTTAATCTTTATATTTTTCTACCGCCGTGAATATTCTAACCCATAACGAAGTTCATGATTCAAACAACTTTTTTGCAGCTAATTTGGTAAAATGATAGAAACATACTCATGATCTATGATTCTTTCAGGTACTCGACGAGTTGTTCTCTTGCATATCTTAGGGAACTGCGTGTTCTTCAAGATCTCGGTGACATCGGAGTTCCTCCTCAATTCGTCACCTTCTTTCTCTCCTGAAGCCAAATGGCTACAGATAAAGCAGAAGCTGGTCTCATGAATTGTCATGCTCATTGCGATGCATCCCTGCACAGTAATTAGAGATTTGAAGGCACATAGCATCACAAAACATCTAATTATGATACAATTTTCTTTCCAAATGATATACCAGTTAAAATGTTTCCCTGAAATAAACAGTTCTGCTTCTATTTTGAAATGTTTGCTTAGATCATTTGATTACTCGTGGATATTAAACCTCTCAAAAGGTAATCATTATGTAGTAAAATGTATTTTCTATCCACAAGCAACCAAGCCATCCCTTAGAGCATCTCCAACCGAACGTCAAAAATGTCTATGGCGTCGTTCAGTGGCTCCAGCCGAACGTCAAATCTTCCTCTATTTCCTTGGCGTCGCACTATTCACCTACGTGATTTTGCTGTCTCAAACGAATTTGCTGAAGAAAAGGGCGAAAGAGGAGAAAGACGGTTACCTTCGCAGAAGCGCGTAAAATAGAGTTCGATTGTAGATGAATCATGGAAATTTTGAATTTCACTGCATTTAGGAGTGAAAAATGGAATTTTCGGTTGGAGATGCTCTTAGAGTGTTCCTTCTCCACTTCTCAATTTGATTTCATGAAAATAATGATTCTAAAATGGTAACTAACCTTGTTTCCAAGGTAACCCATGATCCCTCTCCCTGTAGAGGAAATCCTAAGATGGCCAATGTGTTGGACAAGAGCATTTCTCACCCACACAGACAAGAAGATGCCCACCATCTGTTTGTTGGAAATCAAACAATATTCATTTCCAATCACTTTCTCTTGACCACCACAGCATGGTAAGGCAGAATTCTCATCAACAGCGATTGATTCAATCCTCTTTATGAACTCCCTCATCTCCCTCGCCCTCCAGTGCACGCTAGATGGGTCGAGGGAGCAGTTACAGATCTTGGCCAAATCACTATTTGCTCTATTTTGTTTGCTTAGAACCTTCAGTGAGGACCTCTGGAAGGTGGTTCTTCCTGTCTTCTCCTCTTTCACTTGGTTGATGTGCTTTGATGAGTTGGAATCTGATGAAGGCTCTTCCCTATCACTCAAGGATCTGCATTTAGGCCTATTAAGGGCTCGACCGATGAGCGCGAGCCACTTTGTAGCGGGTTCGTTGTCCTCAATGACAAGCACATTGCCTGCATTCAGAGGAACTATTTCCTGAAACCTGAAGAAGGTAAGAATATCAGAAATCCTCACATCCTTCGCTTATCAAAACATGATAAACATTGAAGAGTTCCCACCCTATCACATATATATCTATGCCTTCTTCAACTTGTAGAAAATCTTCAAGATTGAGGCCAACGTGTGGAGGTCTACCCCCTACATTCCATGTCCCAACAAATATCCTACAAATGAAAAAATTATATCAGAATCTGATAGAAAGTCAAGAGCATTCATTGCATAATAAGTCCTGCTTTATTTTAACAATGTAAAGACAGAAAAGAATTCAAACCTGTACTCTTTCTTCTCTATTATTTGTTCCTCCAACGGTCGTTCAAAGGTGCAAAGATTCAGGCTTTCTATGCGTGAATTCGAAGGTCTATCTGAATATGAACAGGTTAGATGCAGCATTCAGTCATGCCAGCTTAAATCAACGGTATTTGATTTTTAAAAGTATTTTTCAAGATTTGATATGATATTTAAAAAAAAAACAGAGATTTTATTATTTTCAAATCACCTGAAAAGCTTTTTCTGATAAGAGGAGATGCATCCAAGAAAAAACTTCTCGCCGCATATTGTCGATTCAAATCTGTTGAAGAAATTGATACAACAGATCTTAATCATTTGAAGATCATATTGCCAAATTCAAAATAGAAAAAAAAAAAAAAACAATCAAAGAGGTAATCCATACCTGGTAATACATCTCCATCTGACTCTCTTCCACTTCTTCCCTTTTTACCAAAGATACTTGGAAGCAAAGACTAAAATTTTCAAATCAAAACGAATTAAAAGAGTCCAAAGATTCAATTTTTGTTATTCAAATCTATGCCCTCCAGTCACAAAGGAGGCAATCTTATCATTGATATTTATGAAATAAATTAGAACAATACCTTCTTTTTCTTGTCTCCTTTGATAGATTTGTCGGCGGTGGCGGCTTTGGTCCCGTGTTGTTGGCTTGAATTCAACATTCATCCACCCGCGATTCCGATTTCGTGTTTGGACGATTAGCTCAATGCCATTCCATTTCCCTCATAATCGAGCTTGGGGGACAGGTTGGAGGAGAGAGAGAGAGAGAGAGAGAGAGAGAGAAGAAAAGAATGGTGGGTGGTGGGAGGAGATAAATTTGATTTGATGATGAAAACAGATTACAGAGGTGAAATTAGAGGGGAGAAGCAGAGGTTCTTCTATCGCTGGATTCTGTTAATCATAACGAACTCTCTCCCGCCATCTTCGAGTAGTTGTTTGATACGGGCTTCCCGCATGCGACTGATGGATATTGGACGGGAGGAGGATGTGATTGTCGGATCGGGTGAATAGGATAACGTTTGGTGTTTTAATGGACGGTCTGATGATTGGATGTCGCATGCGGATTTCCAAGATTAAGACCAAGTCCAGTCTAGCTTATCTTATTGCCACTTGTCATGGCAATTGTGAAAATATGATAAATTGAACAAATTTATTGAAAATTTTAATCAATTTTGTGATTTTATAAATTCAAATATGATATCATTTAAATCATAATAGCATAACATTAATTTCAAAAATACTTTGTTATTTATAATTTTATAAATTTAATTTAAAATGTGATCCAGTTTAATAATTGGTGTAAAAAAATAAATAAATAGAAACAAACAGTCCGATAAAATGCAGCCGATGATATTGAAATGAAACAAAGTGATCGAAGAGCTTACTTCCTTGAAACCGATATATTTTTTATTGGTAAAGTTTTGAATTAGAATATCATTACTCAAATTTGATTTATTGAAATTTTTTTAAGATTATTATAACATAAAAAATAATAAATTCTAGTTTATGGGAAGTTTCTAGAATAATATATCTAATTTATGGGGATCTAAAAAATGCTCTCATGGTCAATGATACTATAAATTATAAAGTTGGTGACATTAATTTTTTCCTTGGAATTTGAAGGAAATTTTTGTTACAATTCTTCTTCTATATAAATTTGCTAAAAATATAATTTATTTGACTGTTTAATGTTTTGAGAACTAAAAATTATATAAAGAATCTTATTTGATCAAATGAATTTTCTCATAATATATCAAAAGTAATTAGGTTGAGGATGATGAAAGGAAAACAACATAAAAAGTTCTATGGTCACATCCTAAGATCTAAAATGGAAGAATTATTTTTCTTTTCCTCTTTTCATTTATTTATTTATTTCTTACTTTTCAGTAAAAGTCAAAAGTCCTTTAAAATCATATCAATTTAATATCAAAAGCTAATTAATTGCAGTAAAAGAAACATAAACAGTGAAAAATATAATTTATATTACAATCGTAGTCAATAATTACATTCTGTCTCAAATGTCCAAAATAATATATACAATAATCTTCATAGGCTATAAAAATAAACACAAATCAGAGGAACTGAAAGAAAACTAAATTAGTAGTACAAAAAGAAAACTATGCAAGCTGTATTCTCATGTTGTAGGGTTCTTACCTTTACTTAAATTCATATAAAATCACAGACTGAGCATAAAAATCCTGCAAATAATTAAAATCTTACAACTGAAATTAATACAAAGCAAAAAGAGAAACAATATGTTGTAAATCATATAAGAAAATCTATGAATTAATATAGATGTTAAATGTATTGGTCACGTGTATTAATTAATCATTATGTCTTTATGATATAATAAATTTCATTAAATCATATCATTCAATAATTCTAGTTAGTCCATCAATTGTAATAGTAGTATCAGTATCCATACTTCGTAACAGTAACCAAAAACAAAAACTAATACTTTGATATCCGTGTCCATACAATATCAATATATAGTAATCAATATCTATATTTAATAATTAATATTAACAATATATATTAGTAAAAAGTAATTAGTATCACTAATCAGTATTCTATCATTATTCAAATGATGGTATCTTGCTCTTATATATATACGACTCTCAATTAGTCGCCACTTATGACTCTCAATTGACATAGTCCATATAACTTCCCTTGAATCATGTGGATCAGTAGCCTTGACTTCTTATAACTCTCAATTAGTCTCTATCTCCTTATGACTCCTATCAGTGAATCAGTAAATCTTAAGGATAACACGTGGGGGCTATCATTTCATATATCTATTATTAATCAAAATTATCCTTTCATTCATTTCGGATTAGTATCACATTTCAGTATATATTAGTCCTATCAATCATTTCAGCATATATTACATTTTAATATTATCATATCAAAGCATAGTATGTTACTTTCAACCCATTTTCAGTATGCACTTTTTCTACTCATTTTATTCAAAAATTCTTATACACATATTCAATTGATGAAAATATAATAAAATCATATCAAATTATTTGGAATGATAAAATCTATAACATATAAAAAGTACACAATGAAAGCCTACAAAATCAGAAGATAATATATTTTTGGCAGATTAGAGGAGATAAAAGGCTTTAGTATCTAATTTAGATTTCTTTTCTTTTAGATTCATTTGCCTGATCAATAAATAAATTTTAACTTTAAAATAGATTAATCAAACAAAATAAACACATACAAAATAAATCCTTCAAAAAAAAAAATCTACAAACACATAAATAATACAATCAATAATGCAACTCTAGTTTCAAGCAAATTCTTCCACTACAATTGCTTTGATAACACTTTGTCATGCCCCAAGATTTAAAGTGAAATAATTTCTTTTATTTCTTTATTTCTTTCTTATTACTCAATAACAAGTTAACAACCAATAATCATTTACAACAAGATCAATTTAATATCCAGAGCTAATTAATTACATTAAAAAAATAATGGAAAATATAATTCACATTACAGTAGTAGTCAATAATTCAATATGTACATTTTGTCTCTAAGGTCCAAAATAAAATATATAATAGCCTTCACATGCTTAAAATATTTACATAAACTTGGGGTTAGGGGTGTCAAAATTTTACATGACCGAAAACCCGATCAGAAAAATTGTAGGTTATGGTTAAACCATTTGCCATACAGATCAGGTTCGGTAATCCAACAAGATTATAAATTAAGGTCGGGTATGGGTTGAGCCGAAACCAACCCAGAATGATATAGAAAATTGCTCACCTCCTCATATGCCAGTTCGCCCTGATGGCCTAACCGCGATCGTCATCACCTCGCCTCCCTGCCTACGACCTCAGAGCCTCACCTAATCCTTCGTTCCTCCATCCACTCTGCACCTCTCTTGTGAGCTAGAAAGTGCAAACAACAAACCAGTAAACCCTCTGTCTTCATCACCTGTTGCGACAATGGAAGTGGGAAGCTGATGTTGTGATGCAGATTTGGTCGATGCGGTCGCCGCTGGTTTCTCGGACGTAGATGCGACGCCGCGGCCCTCACGGCTTAATCGCTTAAGTGCTCGACCTCACCGCTCACCCCGTTGTCCGCCATTTCACTCATGCGTTTTTGAATCAAAATGGGTATGTGGGTCATGTCGGGTCGGGTCAACCCAATAACCTGCATGGGTCGGGTCTGGGTTGATTCTTTTAGACCCGTGTCCACTCGGGTTCGACCCAAACCTGACCCGTCGACCCATTTTGACACCCATAAACCCTAAATTCTAGATCAAATAGAGAGTGTACGTCTTTTGTTTTGAAGTTGTGCAAGGTCAGCCAAAGATGCCTTAATGCAATCTAATGAACTCAACCCAATTTAGAATCCAGGTCCATGACCTTTCTCGAGTTCAATATTTATATCAATGTCAGAACACATTGTTAATCATAAGTTCAAGCATGTGGGAGATGGCCCATCACTTGCTACTATTTCCCACCGTTATGAGTTGTTTTAGTTTTAGTCTATGTTGCTCATGCATGTTATCACACCTTGGTAATGCTCTATAAATAGAGGCCTTGTGTTGATGTAAGATTTGGGGAAAATTAATGAAGCTTGAGGTATTTTCCTCCCCAATTGCTGTCTCTCTCTCTCCCTCCCTCTCTCTCTCTCTCAAGAACATCTTCCATGATCCTAACACCCACAAATACAAAATTTTTCAACTATCCCATGTTGAGTTAGATACAGTACTTGCAATTGGTTTATTTTTTTAATAATTAGTAAAATTATATGGTTTTCCAAATAGTATTATTTCTGATTGAATGTTTTTCAACACCATTAAGGCATTATAACACTAATATAACACTAGATTATATTATTTTATCTTGAATATCATCTATATTCTAACCTTGCTTTATTTAAAGGTGAATCAAAGTTGGGCTTAATAGACAAGTGATCAAGTTTATTTTCAATTAGAAGTTTTGCGTCTAGGAGAAGGTTTTCTTACTGTTTTATGAAACAATTTTTTAGCTTAAAAATTTTTTGCACTAAAAAACTGCTTTAAAAAATAATAAAAACGAAATCTAAGGCTTCATTTGGGATAACTTTCTTACTACTTCTTAAAGCAGCTTTCTAGTACAAAAATTATAATTTATATAGTAGAAAACTGCTTTAAAAAATAGTAAAAAAATCGTCCCAAACGAAACCTTAGTTGAATAAAATCAAGTTGCTATTGTCAAAACTGACATTTTACAGACATAAGCTAATATGAAGACAAATTAACTAATTATGAATTAGTCAACTCAATTGATATAAAGTAATTTTGAATATGAGACTATTAATATTTGAATTTGAGTTCCTAGCAGAAGTACCAATTTTAACACTAACCAACAGTGCAAAAATTGAATATAAATCATTTAAACAACAGAAACACGACTAGCTGCACACCATCATTTGGTCTAAGAATCTGATCTGTTGAAATTTTAATTGCCCTTAGTATGTATTAATTAACACCTAAAAGCATTTTTTAATACAAAATCTAAACCTTCACAAAGAATATTAAATCTAAGAAGCTTATACATCTTTTGAAAAAACTGTAAAGAAAGAAAACTCATAAAAAAATCATTTACAAACTACTCTGTTTCTCTTCTTTAATCTGTTTTGCCCAAATAAAATGGTCTCCATGCAAGCCAAGAACCATCAGCCCTACCAAGTGATGAGCAATCAAGGCAAGGTGGTCTGTCACAGCCAACCAGGAAAGTGAAAAAATTATCAAAAGATTTTCTCCTGTAAGGCCGAAATAACCCCCCAATCTCTTGGAAAAAAACAGAAATAAGAGAGGACCTATGAGGTATTCTGTACTGTAGAAGATGTTTTGTCTACTCAAAAAACTGCTGAAGCCAACTAAAGTTATAATCAGTTCTTCGGTACTGACTTAGGCTTCGTTTGTGATAATTTTTTTCATGCTTTCTAAAACATAATTAGAAAATTTTATACTGAAAAGCTGTTTTAAGAAGCAGTAGGAAAGCTGACCCAAACGAAACCTTAAATCACCTGACCCGCTTGCGGTCCCTGCCTGAATGGTCTGACCACCTCTTCTCATCTGGCTTTCTCTTCATCCCTCCTGAAAGTTTAACATTATTACTTTGAAACTTCCGAGAAGAATAATTATGCTCATCAATGGAGGTTGGGTTCCCATCTTCTTTGCATTGTCTTCTCCTCATATTCGCCGGCGCTGGTTGCTCCACCCTGTGGAGGGGCTTTGGCCAGATTCGCCTCTTTACCCGTGTCATCTCCTCATCCTCCATATCCAACTCAATTCCATCCTCAACCTGCTTTGCAATAGGATCATTTTTCTTGGCATCATCATTTTGGAGTTTCTGTGCCTTTTCGACTGCAGAAATAACTTCTGCAGCACTTCCCCTATCATGCTTTGAAGAGTTCAGATCTTCTGCTGTGGATGATTCCCGGCGGCCTGAAACTAGCTCAGTCTCTCGATATGAACCATCTTTCCCATTACAATCTGCACTTTGGTCCCTGACACCAACAGTCTTACCATCAGCACTACTACCATGGCCATGACGATGATTCTGAGTATTCAGAAAACCCAAACGTTTACTATCAGGATTAGATTGTTGGATTCTGATGGGCCTCATTGGTGGAGCAGGTTGACCTCGAGAGGCATTATTTACAGATGGTGAACTCTCACTGACAGTTGAAGTTGTTGTTCCCGTAAGATGATGATTAATTCCAGCAAAAGAGCTTCCATTAGTTTCATTACAATGAGATTGTTGGGTTGCTTGATTTTGCTCGTAAAGCTCCAACAATTGATTGCTAACATCTACAAGCAACATGAACATGAAAATTTTTTGGTGCGCAAAAAAAGATCCAATGTTTTCCTGGTCAGAAAAGAATTGATAGAATTATCAACCTTCAAGCTGCCGTGGAGTAACATCAAACACTTGCCACCACGCTTTCTCTCCATCGGAGGGAAGCTTCACCTTTATAAACTTGGAAGCGAGAAACATGGCACCAGCAGCTATGTGCATGGGCTTGAACTGAAGGCACAGTGATGTCCGCAAGCTGTACGGTATTGTTGAATTAGCAAAACAAGGTAAAAGGTTAATAAGATGAAACCAACAAGAGATAGCGAAAGAGGTATGGTACCCATCATTCACAAAATTCCAGGCCACTTTAGCAAGAGAACTTTGTGCTACGTTGAACAATCTAATTGCATCTACAAGGGATCTGTATGGATGGTGGACGTTCAGATCAAAACCAAGAGTCGCAAGAACAAGCCTTTCCCCCAATAAAATGAGCTCCTTTTGTTGCTCATACACTTCCTGAAAATAACCAAGAGAATACGGAGCACAGGAAAAGTAAAAAAAGAGATTTTTCACTAGGAAGCAAAAGGAGAGAGGGTGACAAGCAAAATTAAGTCGTGCAAAGAGTATCACTTCATTTTTATTCTAATTAACAAAAAAACTTGATGGTACCTTATGCTTGATTTCCTGAGCAGCAAAAGGGCCTTTCTTATGAATTATCTCATATGAAACAAGAATAACATCTTTCAGGGGGCGAGGAGTTTCTTCAACCTTGCCAGCAAGGAACATACATACGGTTGCTATTGTCTGCAGCAAATAAGTAAAAATATCAAGCTCTGAAACAAATGAGTATAAATATCAAGCTTACAACAGTTACCGATGTAAAATTTCATTAAAGAACACATTTTGCTAGGCTGGCATAGCCAAACTTCTTTTTCTCAAAATATTAAAATCAAAATTCCATTGATCCAGACTACTGAAAATTTTGAGTTCAGATAAATTCTGGATTAGCGATGGGTTCAGTTCAATACCACTCCAAACCCAAAAGTACAAGCTAAAACCAAACACATAATGCAAAATCATATGACATATCAACTAGATATACATAAATGTCAACTATGACATAATCATGGACTCTACTTCATCCCATACCCAAAAATTATGATCTCTTTCTTTTGGTCCTACCCCTAGGAGGCGATTCATCTTTCCTTTCCTTTTCAAACAGGTCTTCACAAATCAAGACCACTTTAAATAATTCTTCCTATTAAGTGATATGAAGGTTACATATTTTGGAGGTCCCATCTTCCTTGGTGCACCATAGAGTCTTCCATTTGGCAAAACTTTGGGAGGAATTAGCTTGAAATATTGTGACGACAAAGGGTAGCGATGAATGCTACATTAACCAGGCAGTAATGAAAGCTGCATTGGTTATAAATAGGATAGCAACAACAATGGAAGACAAATAATGAAGGCACGACAACATAAAGAAAAAAAAAAATTTAGGGTTGTGGCAAGCTTCAGGGACGGCAATAAAAAATCATATCTCAAGCAGTTCAACACTTGGCACACAAATCTCCTCTTTCCCAAGCCGTCCTATCCCACCTGGACGTAAAAAATGAACTTAGCAACCAAGTTTCCTTTTGGTCGGTTCGGTCCTAGTTCATGCCTGCATAGACTCCTATTCGATCGGCCCAGTATAGGCACACACAAGGCCTCTAATCCCTCTAGTATGATCGCAAGGAGTAAATGTCTCACACTATTGCTTGTCCCAGCCCTAAACCAACATGAGAGTCCCTTGCTCCATCTCCCTTTCAGTGTTGGACGCATGCAAGCAAAGAAGAACTCCCAGGTACGTTCGTTTTTGCCTCTCGATCCCATACAGAGAGTCACGCACATCTCTCTCTCTCTCTCTCTCTCTCTCTCTCTCTCTCTCTCTCTCTTGGACGCATGAATGAAGCAAAAGGACTGAATAGGGATAATAATAAGGCGTCTTGGAACAATAGCACTCAGAATTTCAACAATCAAGGTGATGAGGACATCGACAGACGATATCGACAAGTTTATCGACGAAGGAATCGAAGATCTATGGCTACAATTCAGCGCCTTTTCTTTTGATGCATTTTTTCATGTTATGTTTTATTTAGTTTTGTTATTTTTCGAATTTGCCCCTTTGGGGAAGTTTCTTGTTATTGTAGCCCAGATGGCAATTGCGTACTTTTCTTTTTCATGATTGAGACCTATATATAGTGGTCTAATGTGTTGGAAGAGGATTTGATGAATGATTATATGATATTTTATTTTGTCTTCTTCTTCTTCTTCTTGTGAGTGCACTAGAGAGAAGGGAGAGCCCAACGAGTGGGCAAACGCAACACCCACCAGTCATTGGAAGAGTTTGTGGCTCATGGTTTTCTTATTTGTTTCTTTTCTTTCTCCGTCTTCAACTTCTGGCATTCTTCCACCCCGTCACCACCACCCCGCATCTGAAATACCACCCCTAAGTCCATTCAAACTCCCATTCCAAAGCACCACCCGTCGGCCTAAGCCCTTTACCCCCACCCAACCCGACGCCAAATCCTCCCCATCACCCTTGCCGCCGGCCACCCCATGCTTTCCCACCATTATGGTGATCCCCATCACCTTAATGACTTCCTACATTAACCCCAACAAGAAAAGGAAAGGATTTAATCCCATTTGAAATTCAAATTCTTTCCATATTTGGAATTCCTAATTAGGAAAGTATTTAGCCATGAATTCAATTTAAATTCAAAATAGAATGGATTAAATTAGGAAAGTATTTTATTATTAGCTTTCCTAATTCAAAAACCTTGTTTAGAAACTCCCTAAAACCCCTCCCAAATTCCCTCCCTCTCTCTCAATGCCGCCGGCCACCCCATTGATGGCTTTCCCATCAAATCCCATTAAAGCTTCCAATCCCTCCTTAATTTGAATTCAAATTTCAAATTAAATCCCGCAAAATCTACTTAAAATCTGAAACTAATTTTAAATTTGGATAAAAGCTCTTCCTCTCCCTCCCTAGCCTAACCTAACTCCACCTCATCCAAACCGTCCCCCCTTCTCCACCCTTGGCCGCCCTCTCCACTTGCATCATCTCCCTTGGAAAACCTAAACGCGCATGCTATTTGAAGCTAAGAGAAGGAAACGAGTTCTTTCCTCCCTTCTACCAATGGTGTATGGCCGACCCTGAGGTCGACCACGGATTTGTCTTCGACGAGCAAGGGAGGACGGATATTCTTGGATCCCCGTTCTTTGACGTCTTCTTTGGCAACGACGAAACTGTGGAAGGATACATCGACCGCATCTTCTACCAACTAACAGTATCGATTAAAGAGCACCTTCAACCTGGTCGTTGGATAATCATCGGTCACCCACCGCCGACTACTTCTCCATCAACGAAGGTCCTCGGCGCCGTCTTCCTAGTGGTAATATCTTTCTTCGTATGGTTCGTTTTTCTCCGCTAAAGCCTAAGAGTTATTGAGTGAGAAGGTACTCAAGGTGAACCTCTCGTTGTTAAATGATGGATTATGTTATGTGTACTTCGTATTTATTATTGTCTTGAATTTTGATTGGATTGTTCGGTTAATATCAAACGCTCTTCTTTGGCCTAAGCAAGTTGAAGACCTTGAATTCCTAACTCTTCTTTATTTGCAAGCAATAATTTTCATTAGCAAGTTTTAATCAATTGTTCCTTCTAATTTCGCAAGTAACTCCTAGTGGTATCACATCAAAAGGTCAGTGGTGGAACAATAGGGGAAACGGATTATGTATCATTAGGCTATGATATCATGTTAAATTCAAAGAATTGGACAGGGAAAAATGCTTCTCCTTTATTGGACAAAACTATCCTTATTTATAAATCTATACAAGATATATTAATAAGAAAATAAATAATTACAAAATAATGCATAATCGTACTAATATAATCCTTACTAAATCAGCTACCCAAATTTGAACATGGAGATTGGCAGGATCCAAATGAGCCTCTCATGGATCCACATGCTGGCCATAAAATCAAGAGAGAAGGGACGGCCGGGATGGCTGGGATGGTATTTGACATTTATTAAACTATAAGAATACATGCATACATATGTAGATACATCATACATTCAGATACATTTTTATCCTACTTCAAGCTAGTTGGCCTAATTCAACTTAAGTTCAATTCTATATGGGAAGTTCAATTCTATATGGGCTTGTCTCATGGGAACCCTTGTTGAATGCGTTTTTGGCTCTAATACTAATCCAATTTTCGATCAGTCTATCCTTGATAAAATTTATACCCTATTCTTTTCGACTTTCAGGTAAGTCATATTTCAATGGCGACTTACAATCTCATCCTTACTAACAATATTGACAAGCTTGATGAGCAAATTTTTCCATTTAAATGTCACAACTAATCTAGTACATAATGATATACTTCACACTAGTTCCTCTTTCCAGGAAAAACTAAATTTGAAGCTTGTATCATAGGATTATTATGACCTTGCTGTTTCACTTTTGTCTAGTAGAAGTTCAGCATAAGTATGCATTCAAAAACTTAAAATAACACAATAACAACATAGCATTTACTAAGTTAAAAGAAAGTTAAATATGAATAGAGTAATGGACGAAAAAAAAGAAGTCTTAACATTCTTAAATATGTAAGCCTCACATATTTAAAATTCACAAAATTGTTTGTTATTTCACTTCAAAGCTAGTCTTCAGTTTTGAAGGCCAAGGTACAGCAGCAAAATAAAGTGATCAACCACAAGCGAACATTTCATTTCGAAACTAATATACAAAAATACAAATCAAATGAAGTCAACTAAATTTCACTCAGACCAATAAAGTTAATTTATAAGAAATAAAACTCCAGTTAAACTTTATAATTGTGTAACCATGCGGCAGATCATTTAACATAAATTAAAGGTTAGCAGATTCACAAATGAATCTAAATCTTCAACACTTTTCATGTGTTTAGCTAAATTGATACACATAAGAAGCACAAAAATATGAAGAAGAATGAAGTACTAGTCATTCTTCCATTCTTGGCAGAGGATTAGATTGAAACCATGCAGTAGATCAATTAACAAAAACAAAAGGTTAGTATATACACCAATGCAGCTAAATCTTTTGAACATATCTGTTATGTTTAGTAAAAGCGATGCACATAAGATGAACGAGAAAACGAACAAGAATAAAGTACTAACCATTCTGTCATTTTTGGCATGGGATTGGCGAAGAAAAAAGCGATGACAGAATATTATAGCAGTAGCAATTGTAACTTGCGGTCTGTATAGCAAATAGATTCATTAGTTCAAGAGAAATGTCACGGTGAAAAATGAAATCGTGCAGTAACTACTGAGCATTGTCAAAACTTGTTCTAACTACGATATGGAAATAAATAAATGTCAATGTTGTAAGTATGCTAAATAAGACTATTAGAATAATGCATGTATGCTAAATAATACTTTTAAAATAAGAACATTCACTTGTTCAACTCTATTCATTGTCTGGGCAGGCTTGGATGATCGCGATCAAACTAGCACTGGTACTGAATCTAATGTCTCATCTAGGCTAGCCCTGGACTTCTACTACTAACTGCAAAATCACTTTTACACTGGCAGTAATGAAATGATAGTAAATATAGAGTTTGATTAGCATCTGTGACAGACAGAATCTACACTATTTTTTAGGATTGATATTGTTAAATTCAAAGAATTGGAGAGGGAAAATACTTTATTTTATTGCACAAAATTATTCTTATTATAGATTTATAAAAAGATATCTTAATAAAAAAAAATAAGTAATTATAGAATCATGCATAATTTCCATAATATAATCTTTCCAAAATCATCCAACCAAATATGAAAAGAAATCAACGTGATCCAGGTGAGCTTCCCATGGATTCCCATCTTGGTCGTGGGATCAAGTGTCAAGGGACAACTGAGATTTAACAATGATCAGCGTGATCCGGGTGAGCCTCTAATAGGAAATAAGAAAAACACAGAATTCTACTGCAGAAATCAGCAATCTAGCACACTTCCAAGTAGTTTTTGAAAGAAAAACATAGAAATAATAGAGGGAACTTTTTTTAATTTGATAGTAGATGAAAGAAAATAGCAAGATACAGTTGGATCTTCAATTAGAGAGGAAGATCTTGCTCTCCAGTACGGGAAAACACGGTATTACCGCCGGAGCTTCCGGCGGATTTATATCCGTCGGTAACTACGACATTTTGACTGGCATCCTGTGCGACTGAATTATTACGGCGTTCTTTTCAGCGGCATCAGCGTCGGTATTTTTCCGACGTTCGTGATGCCGGTGTATACGTTGGAATATATAAGCATATCATCTAGAGCGGCGTAATTGACGCCGGAAAACACCGACGTATTTACCGGCGGATTAGACGTTGGACATTTTAAACACAGCAAAATGGTAACGTTGAAAGAGATGCCAGAAATTCTTCCGGCGTTTTATACGCGGAAATTCCGCCGGCGAAAGCCCTATTTCCGAACCCGAGCCCGTTTGGCTTTTCATTTTCTTCCGCGTTTCGTTTTAACTCTCCGCTCTGCTTCGTCTCCCCATCATCGCCCCACCGTAGATTGCCGCTGCCGAGGCTTCCGGATGTCCACGATAGGTCGCCGATGATCACCGCCTCTGTCACCGACGAAAGGACACAGTTTTCGGGAAAATCCACCGTGAGTTTCGATTTTTTTCCTTGATTTTCATAATATAGATTTACAATCGAGTTCCAAGTGTCAATATCTGAGAGAGTTCCCTAAGTTGAAAGAACTCCCTTATGTTTTCTTAGTCATATGTATGGTTCTCATTTTATGCTTTGTTTCGATGATACCTAGTTTTTTGGTCTTAACAGCAATCAATGCTCATTAACCTTTTAGGATTTTGGATCAAAATTTGTCCATATATGATATTAGAACAATAGTTGTGGGACTCATAAGGCATTATGGTAGAGAGAGAGATAGAGAGAGATAGAGAGAGAGAGAGAGAGAATAGGGAGTTGAAACCCAAGATAACTTGAGAGCCTCCCTCATTCACAAAACACTGCTCTAGTTAATGTCCTCACCTAGCTCCTATCATGAACTTGCATTCACGCCTTTCCGGCGGAACATACGTCGGTATGGCGCCGGAAATGACAATACAACGAATTATTCGATTCGTTCCACGTTCGATATACGCCGGTAATTCCAGCGGATGATGCGCCAGTAAGTATTCGTTGCTTTAGTTGCGGCGTCCTTTGTGACGTTTCGTTCGCTGGTATTTCTGGCGTATGTATACGCCACAAATTTCGGCGTATTTAACGCCGGAATAATCTAACGGAAAGCGACGTAATCACGCACATTGTTTCGCCGGTAATATGTTGGAACGTACGCCGGAAAGTGTTCCGGCATATTATTTATGTCGGAAAGTTTTTTCCGACGCGTGCCAAACCAGCGCATGGAATTTCGCCGGAAATTCGACGAAAACTTCATATTTCCGTCATATTTTTCGAGTTATTGGCGGATTCCGTCCGTCGGTAATGACGGGTTTTCCTGTAGTGCTCCCAATCTCTAGCTGGAGACTAGAGCCCAAGCTAAACCTAAAAAAACACCAAATTCTGCAAAACATACGACATAACCTTAACCCTAGAACAGAAAATACTACTTAAAGCCAAAAAATAAACAAATACCTAAACAGCCCCTAGAATTTGAATTTTCCCTCTCAAATCATTTTCAATTAAAGCCCTAAGACCACAATTAAGAGGAATGTGCCCCACATGTTGTTCCCCCGCCACGAAAAGAAATCAACGTGATCCAGGTGAGCCTCACATGGATTCCCATCCTGGTCGTGGGATCAACTGTCAAGGGACAACTGAGATTTAACAATGATTGGCGTGATCCGGGTGAGCCTCTAATAGGAAATAAGAAAAACACAGAATTCTACAGAAATCAGCAATCTGGCACACTTCCAAGTAGTTTTTGAAAGAAAAACATAGAAATAATAGAGGGATTTTTTTTTTTTTTATTTGATAGTAGATGAAAGAAAATAGCAAGATACAGTTAGATCTTCAATTAGAGAGGAAGATCTTGCTCTCCACTACGGGAAAACACAGTATTACCGTCGGAGCTTCCGGCGAATTTATATCGATCCGTAACGACAACGTTTTGACTGGTGTCCTGTGCGACGGAATTAGCGTTCTTTCCGGCGGCATAAGTGTCGGTATTTTTCCGAAGTTCGTGACGCTGGTGTATACAATGAAATATATAAGCATATCATCTAGAGCAGCGTAATTGACACTGGAAAACACCGGCGGATTAGACGCCGGACATTTTAAACACAACGAAATGGTAATGTCGAAAGAGACGCCGGAAATTCTTCTGGCATTTTATACGTCGGAAATTCCACGGGCGAAAGCCCTATTTTCGAACCCGAGCCCGTCTGGCTTTTCATTTCCTTCTGCGTTTTGTTTTAACTCTCCGCTCTGCTTCGTCACCCCACCGTAGATCGCCGTTGCCGAGGCTTCTGGACATCCACGACAGGTCGCCGACGATCACCGCCTCCGTCACCGACGAAATGACACAGTTTTCGGGAAAACCCACCGTGAGTTTCAATTTTTTTCCTTGATTTTCATAATATAGATTTACAATCGAGTTCCAAGTGTCAATATCTGAGAGAGTTCCCTAAGTTGAAAGAACTCCCTTATGTTTTCTTAGTCATATGTATGGTTCTCATTTTATGATTTGTTTCCATGATACCTAGTTTTTTGGTCTTAACAACAATCAATGCTCATTAACCTTTTAGGATTTTGGATCAAAATTTGTCCATATATGATATTAAAACAATAGTTGTGGGACTCATGAGGCATTATCGTAGAGAGAGAGAGATAGAGAGAGAGATATATAGAGAGAGAAAGAGAGAGAGAGAGATAGAGAGAGAAAGAGAGAGAGAGAGAGAATAGGGCCTATTCTAGTGAACTACATACATGAATTGTCTTCTCATCTCATGCTGTAGAGGCTATCTAATCCTACCCAAATAAGCTCCCATTGCAAACTCTTTTCCTCCCTTGAGACTATGGATGCCTTCAACCAGTGCAAACATTCATGCATGTGGATTCCTTTGCATGAGCATTAATTCGAACCTTCAACCAGTGCAAAAAATTTTTTGTTTATGCTACATATTACCTGCGGAACATACGTCGGTATGGCACTGAAAATGAGGATACAACGAATTATTCGATTCGTTCCGGTGTCCGATATACGCCGGTAATTCCAGCGGATGATGCGCGAGTAAGTATACGTTTCTTTAGTTGCGGTGTCCTTTGCGACATTTCGTTCACCGGTATTTCCGGCGTATGTATACACCACAAATTCCGGCGTATTTAACGCCGAAATAATCTAACGGAAAGCGACGTAATCACGCACATTTTTTCGTCGGTAATACGCCGGAAAGTGTTCCGGCGTATCATTTACGTCGGAAAGTTTTTTCCGGCGCGTGCCAAACCGGCGCATGGAATTTTGCCGGAAATTCAACCGTTTGGCCTTACTAAGGCTCTAGGGTTAAGGATTCCGTCCGCCGGTAATGACGGGTTTTCTTGTAGTGCTCACAATCTCTAGCTGGAGACTATAGCCCAAGCAGAACCTAAAAAACACCAAATTATGCAAAACATACGACATAACCTTAACCCTAGAACAGAAAATACTACTTAAAGCCAAAAAAATAACAAATACCTAAACAACCCCTAGAATTTGAATTTTCCCTCTCAAATCAATTTCAATTAAAGCCATAAGACCACAATTAAGAGGAATGAGCCCCACATGTTGTCCCCCCCAGCAATCATCAGGCGGATCTATTTCACCTAGAATAGACCAGAACTGGTCTAGGTGGGATCGGTTCAATCGGCTTCTCTAGAGCCAGTCTAACAATACACCCTCCCAAAGACTCGTCTTGTCCTCAAGGTGAAGTGATGGGAATTAGATCTTCATTCTCTCGTATGGCTTCCAAGTGGTGTCATAATCTGGGAGGTTCTTCCATTTAATCAGCACTTCCTTATCCCTCCCCTCTCTTTGTCACACCCCCTTAAGCTCCAAGGGCTCCAATACTACCTCCAAATCCTTAGTCAGTGTCGTTAGTAACGTCGCACTAGCTACATGCTCCCCTATAGTCCTCCTCAATTGGGATAGATGAAACACTGGATGTGGGGGTAACCTCAGGCGATAAGCCACCGCTCCAATTTTTTCTACTATCTTATACGGGCCAACATATCTGGGAACCAGTTTCTCATTCCTCATGTT